TGTGGCAGTGGGTTGCCATGGGCTACTGTATGTAGCCAGCAGCCAGCGTGAGCGGCCAGCAGCCACAGTGAGCGGCTGTCCAGAAGCTGGCGACTGATCTGCCTCGCCCAGGGAAGAGCGCAATGATGGTACCAACTTGGGCCAGTGAAGCAACGTCCTCCACAACTAGACTGAAGAATAAAAAAAAACAACAGCAACTTGTCTGTTCCCCTTCCCCCAATTCCCCAATAAAAATCTTTAAAAATAAATAAATAAATAAATAGACATTTAAGAAAAATAAGGATTTTTTTCATTAACAATAAAAATAGCCTTTTTCAATCTTCTACTATAATACCGAATTGATGTGGAAACAAATTTTCAAATTCTATATGCAATAAGTTACCCAATTATTACTAAGAACTAGTTTGGTTTGTTATCTTAAAAATAAAACATCGAATGGAAGAAGAAGGCAAGATTATACATTCTAGTAAACTTTTCTTAGTGCAGCAGGCCTAATCATGGTGAAAAGACCCTTTAGACAAAATTCTCTAACCATGCAAAATTTTTAGGTTTTCTGGCTAAAGAAAGAGTAATTTCAAATATCATTCCAGGCCTACAACTGTGGTTAAAACAAATTAAATACTTGAGGTAATAATTATTAAACTATAAATGACATTAAAGTATTATGTATATTATCTAATTTACAATTCTTTAACACACATAAATGAGGGCAATATCCCCATTTTATAAGTTAAGTATGTTTTAAAGAGGTAATTTTTCAATTAGCCAAGAATATCTAAAAAATTAATCATACACTAGGCTTATGTTAAAAAAAACCCAAAAAACAAAAAACACCTGGCCAAAATTATTCCCTTGGCAAGATAAATATGATAATGCAAAGTCACTATTCAAAAGATTATGATTACATTTCACTGACAATACATCAAATCTCATGATGAGTTATATAGGAACAGGAAATTGTAAGAGGCACACAGAGAAACTACAAGTATGCTAATAGTCCAGGAGGCTTTCTCCAAGTTAAGTTAGTAACGCTTAACTTCTATAAGATCTTATACTTGTGTTTTTAATAATAATTTAGAATAAATGCTTATTAATTGTCTCTCTAACCTATTAGTCATCTCCATGAGGGCAGGAACTGTGACTACTATATTCACTATTAAATTCCCAGGGCTTAGATCAATGTCCTACACATAAAAGGAAACAACATATATTCTTATCTCATCTTTATAAATCAGAAAATTGAAGCTAAGAGAACTATATTTCTTTCCCCAGGTCCCATACTAGGTACATTATATCTATGTGTGATTCGATGTTTTCTGATTACATACCCAGAATTCTTTTCACCATAACATCATTACTAGTCTGCATCTAAATTATAAGTAATACACACCTGTTGGTTAATAACTTCCAAACGTGAGTCTTTCAAATGTGTCTTTAACCATTCTGTAGCTTGGGAAGACGGGTCAATAAGAAATGGGCATACTCGACTCTAGTTCAGAAAAAAGATTATAAGCTTTTATTAGACGGAAATAATTTCCTAAAAATTATGAATCAATTACTGAGTGATTTTTTTCCCTCAGGCTTTGGAGAATATAAATATTCAACCATGAGGAGGAATGAAAGGTACAGTTTTTAGCCACATTAAAAAATTTTAGAGTGATCAGTAATTAATATTAGTTAATTCAATTTAACCATAGTAAGTACAGTCCTATTTACTACACAGTAACACAGACAATGTATATTAACAATATAGTAAGCAAGAGCTCTGGACAATCAAGTTATTGCCTAACTTTATAGATACAGAAAGTGGCAAAAAAATGTATACACATTTTAAGAAAAGAAAAAACTGTATTAAAATTATGCTGATGGTAACCACTTTGAGCACTTCTTGTAATTGCAGAGGTCAAACATGACTTGTATTCATCTTTTGTTATCGGTATATATTGAATATTACAATTTTAATACAGTTTTTTGCTTGCTTAAAATGTGTATACATTTTTTTGGCACCCTCTGTATTTTTGGTTGAATAAACTGAAAAGACAAGTACGACCCAATCAGAAAAATATTGCTGAAATAATCAATATAAGACATTAATTCTTATAAAGCAGTGTATAGTTAATATTACCAAAGATGTGTCCTGGAATGGAAAATTACATAGGTTACAGTTTAAAATCTAATGAACTAGGAACTAAATACAACCCAATACTAATTAAACTCTGAAAGGAATAGAAAATTAGAAGACAATGAAAATGGCTTACATACAATGCCACTTAGCAGATGAAAGAAAGCCAAGTATATAGATCTATATATATGATATATTTAAATATATGTAAATATATAAATAAATATATAGTAAATTTAAAAATTACTTAATAATCATTGTTACCTAGTAAATCAGATTTAAATAATAATGACTGACCTAATTTTTCTTAAATTTTCACATGTATTTGAAAAATGTAATGCATTTGTGTGCTATAGGGATAACACAACACATGAAAGTCAAAGTGAAATGAAGACTTAGAACTAGGTTCTAGTAAGAATATGATGTTATTTCAGTGACATACCAATAAGGAAGAAGATAAGCGGGGCCATCTGCCTCAAGGACAAAGAGCATTTTATCAGCAACATTGTTTAAAATTGTCAGCACATGGTAACAATAAATTGCTGATTGAATTTAAAACAGCTTTATTATTGTTTTAAAGTTCTCTACAGACAATGCATCTTCTTTTTGCTTGCACCCAGAAAGGACTATTCCTACCACACTTCCCCCAGTGTCACCGTACTGTATGGTCTTCACCCAGTATCTATTTCTGGAAGTTTCACTTACTGTTCAAGCATATAAATCTGCTATTCCCTGAAAAATGAGATTGTGAGTAAATATGCTTTTAAGTATTATCAATGTACCACACAGAGGTTTTAGATCGTATTTTATGTGAGCATTCAATAGCAAACATTTCACAAGTCTACTAGATTTTGTTTAATCATGAAAACAATTATTTTAAATTTTTAAAAAACTTCTTACCCATGATTTCACACCAATGATCTGATGCAGTTAAAAAAAAAGAAGATAAAGACTCAGAAAATCATGTTTTTAGCACAGAAAATATGCTTAAGAATTGCACAGTACTTAAAAGTTTGTATTCATTTATTTATATTTCTCCAAAGAGATTTAGACAAAAATCTCTAAGGTATATTTTAGGTCTGTGTTTCATGATCAACTTGAGTAAAATGTTACATATAATAAATTACAACAGATCCAAAATTGTCAAGCTTTTATTCATTCATGTATTCATTCAGCTACCATATGTTGCATAACAACTACGGTAAAATAATGTGAGCAATACAGAAATTAATAAGATATATTCCCTTACCCTCAATGAGTTCACATCCAATAAAGAAACAAAAAATAAAAACTCTATAATAGAAGAGGATATAATATTCTATAGGATCAGAGATCCATCTGATCCTAGAGGAATCTGCTAGGAAGCAATTCAAGTCAAACTAAGAAAGATAAATTGAACTTTGGCAAAGAGGTGAAAAAGCATTTCAGGCAAAGGCAACAGCATGATTCAAAAATATGAATAATAAAACTGTAATAACTATGTACCTATCAATCATCACTTTAATTGTGAATGGATTAAATGCACCAATCAAAAGACATAGGGAGGCTGAATGGATAAGAAAACAAGACCCACACATATGTTGTCTACAAGAGACCCAACTCAGATTAAAAGACACATACAAACTGAAAGTAAAGGATGGATAAAAATATTTCACACAAATGGAAACAAAAAAAAAGCTTAAGCAGCAATACTTGTATCAGACAAAATTGGCTTTAAAATGACACGAAGAAGGACATTACATAATGACAAGATTAATCTAACAAGAGGGCATAACCTTAGTAAACATCTATGCACCCAATATACGAGCACCTAAATATATTGTATAAAACAAATATTGACCAACATAAAGGGAAAGATTCACACTAACACAATCATAGTAGGCGACATTAACACACATTGACTCTAATAGACAGATCTTCCAGAAAGAAAATCAATGAAACAATAGCCTTAAATGACACTGTAGACCAGATGGGTTTAACTGATATTTTTAGAACATTTCACCCCAAAGCAAAATATACATTCTTTTCAAGTGCACATGGAACATTTTCCAAGATAGACCATTTATGCCACAAAACAAGTCAATAAATTTAAGAAGACTGAAATTATATCATGCGTCTCTGATGATGACAATGGTATGAAACTGGAAGTCAATTACAAAAACAAAAACAAAAACAAAAAAAACCCCTGAAAACCCACAAATACATGGAGGCTAAATAACATGCTACTAAACAATGAATGGGGTTAACGATGAGATGAAGGAAGAAATCAAAGATACCTTGAGACAAACGAAAATGAAAACACAACGAAAGCAGCCCTCAGAGGGAAATTCATAGCAATGCAGGTCTACTTTAAGAAAAAAAAAAATCTCAAATGAACTATCTAACTTTACATCTAAGGTAACTAGAAAAAAAAAACCAGCAAACACAGCTCAAACTGAGTAGAAGGGAGGAAATAATAAAGATCAGAGTGGAAATAAATGAGATAGAGGCTAAAACAAAATACAAAATAATAATGAAAAATGTTTAAAAATAAAGAACAAGGCAACTCAAATTAAAGAAGGGAAAATTGTTTAATCTGTGGTCAGCAACTTCTCTACTGCTAAGATGCCAATGTAATGAGCCAAAGCATTATCAGCTGATTAATAGGAGTAATCAAACTAAATTATCCAGGGATGAACAGAGCCCACAATACAAATCTTATCATATTATGCTTAAGTTACCTAAAGAGGAACATTTAGTGTTCACGCTTTCTTTGAGACTCTGCAGTTATGGAATAAGGAAATGGTGTGTGGGCAGAGAGGTTACAGAAAGGAAAGAGAAAATTGGTATTATGGAGTATAAATTATTGAGACAGTAAGAACAAAAAAAAAATCATATTATCAGGGAGGAAAAGTATCTTCTAAGTTTGGTTACATAAAGGTAAACCAAATTAATGGTAAAAATAAATTTCATTCAAAGAAATGATTTGTTTGTATACATGATTTGAAATTTGTTTTTCACATGTTAATAAGATTAATATGCATATGGTCATCTCTGACTTATAAGCCCAAACTGATCACATCTTTACTTTGTGTAACTTTGTTTTAAAAAAACAAAATATTTAAATAAAATAATATGTGCTAGATGAAGGAACTATACAACGAAATGAAGTGGATATTCCTAAAATTTTTCTATTACCATTAAGGAGTTCAATTTAGAATATTTTGTCACCAAAATAATGCCACTTAGTTTATACTTTTATAGTAAGGTAAAAAATAAATTATACTGAAAAGTATAGATTCACCAAGTGAATCATAAAAGGCTTTTCATTAGAAAAATAATCAGCTTTTTGTAATGACGTTGAAAGCCTAAGAATTTGAAGAAGGTACTTCTTGGAGGAAGCTTCAAAAGAAACACTTCTAATGTGAAATGAACATGGATAATTACCTGTAAGATAACAATAGCATTTTCTATGGAAAGGTCATCTGATGGTAGGCCTTCACTTTTCCAAATTAACTGCTCACTTTCAGTACAAAGAAATCTCCTCAGATCAAACTCTGAAAAGATAAAAATATCAATAACACTTCACTATAACAATCGTGTACTTGACAAAGGGGAGGGAATAAAACTATTTAAAATATAGTCAAACAACAATCCTGTGCCAGTCCTTAATAGTCAATCCATTCTTCCCCATTTAGCACCAGAAGGGGAAAATCAGCTCAAAAAGTTAAAAAATGCAAATAAATGGAGCTCAGTTCATTTATATTTCATCTATTAAATGAATGTTTCACCACTATAATAATTTGTGAAAACCACAAATTCACAAGGAATTTTGGAGTTCCTGACTCTCATCTCAAGATAAGAAATTACTAAAAAAGTTAAACCAATAAAATGTTTAGATGCATTCATGCAATATTAAAAATAATTCAGTGGTGGAGTATTACTCAGCTATAAAGAAGGAAATCGTGCCATTTGGAACAATATGGATGGAACTAGAGAACATTATGCTAAGTGAAATAAGTTAGTCAGAGAAAGACAAATACCATATGATCTCACTTATATGTGGAATCTAAAAAACTGAATAAATGAGAAATGTAAACAGAAACAGTCTCAGAGACACAGAGGAAAAACTGAGGGTTACCAGTTGGGAGGGACTGGGGATGAAGGAGAAGGGGAAGGGACAAGACAATACAAATTGGTAACTACAATATGGCCTCAGGGATAGAAAAGACAGTCTGGGGAATATAATCAATAATGTTGAAAATATTTTTTAGGGGGCCAGTTGGACTCATGTCTTGTTAGGGAGACCACTTCATAGGTGGTGTAGAGGCCTGACCACCACACTGTATATCTGAAGCTGATGTTGAATAATATTGTATGTCAACTACAATTATATATACATATAGTCACGGAATGTGGAGTACAGTGTGGGAATGGAGTCAATGGAATTGTAATAGATAAGTATGATATTGGGGGTGGGAGGGCAGTGGATGGGGGTAGGGGGGTAGTTACTTTGTGAGGGGTGAAAAGGATAACTATTGCATTGTTCTGTACACCTGAAACTAATAATAAAAAATAAATAAATAAATAAATAATAAAAAATTCAGTGGCCTCAGTTTCATAGAGTGATTTTCAGAATAGAAGAACCATTATGACAAAACATATCTCAGAACATTTGTCGAATTTGGTAAATCTATAGTAGCTATGATACCTTTTAACTTAAAGAAAATTGTTCGTATTTTAAAAAAGTAAAATGACAAAAAAACAAAAGATGCATTTAGTATACTGAAATTTCAAATTAATGAATAACTATATACAAACTTTCAAGACAAGCTGACTTGGTCCATTCTTCCAAACAGGTTTTTCTGAGACCCTCAGGAGCAGCAGAAAGATATGTAATAAATGCAGCTGCTAGTTGAGCTCTTTTAGGGAGAGTAGCTAATTCCTCTGTTATCTCTACAACCTGGACAAAAGATAGAGAGAGACACTGATGTATGGATATGTTTTAACATGGAAAAAAAAATGACACCTTCATAATTTAAAGTTGTGACTGTGGAAAAAAATCATTTATGAGATTAAAATAATAACCCCTGCCTTGAATAAAATTGTCAAAATGTAAAAATATCAACAAGACCTTTAACCATGCTGATATTATACAAATGCATAAAATTCCAATATATTGTAAAGACGAACATATTTTGTCATCGAAAGTTCCAAATGATTTTAATGAAAGCAGAGCTTTTATCCCAATCATAATTAAATGCATATTGTGAATTAGCACCATTTTGTAAAATACAATTAAGATATAGAGAGTACAAGCAAAGGCACAAAACAAAGATAAAGCATGCAGACTCATTAGTTAAAACATAGTGTGGCTAAAGCATAAGTTTGAGCAGAAAAAGCAGCAATACCGAAGTAATAAAAAAAAGGGAGAGGTAGGCTGGAGAGAGAAAGATTGTGAATGGTTCCCCATGCCATTCAAAAGAGCTTCTACTTTAACCTGCGGCATTGAAAGTGTTTAAACAGGGAGAGTGATGTTATCAGACTGGGTTTTAGAAAGATAATTAAGCTGGCAAATCAAGAATGAACCAATTAAAGGGTCAGATAGGAGGGAGACAAGTTAGGAAAACTCAAGAGAAAAAAGAAAAGAATTGACATTAAGGATAGCAGACAAACATAAGGGATATTTGCAAATGGATATGACAAGTAAACACGGAAGAGTTTAAGACAACCACATTTGTTGAGCTTTGATGCCTAGAAGAAAGATGCCTTATGAGAGATAAGAAAAGACATGTGGGATGAGAAAAAGAAAATAAGTTAATTTACACATGTTATGTTTGAATTCCCAAGACAATTAAATGCAAATATCTAAAGCGTAGTTGGAAATATGAATTTAAAACTTAGCAGTCTAGAAATATAATCTAGTAAGCATCATAGTATAGCTAATATTCTTAAGATTGGATGAGATAACCCCAGAATAGTTGCAGAGAAGGGAGCTGAGGAAGGGAATACAGTCAAATGTTATTGGATAAGCAGATGAGAAGAATCTAGTGAGGGAGGGAAACTTACTGGTTAAAGATAAACAAACCAACCAACCAAAAACAAGAGACAACACTTTAACAAAGGGAAAGTCACAGTATTTCATAAAGCAATAAACGGCTAACAGTGTCAAATCCTAAACTGCTGTCCTGGTAAAGGTTAAATTCAAAAATATCTCTAAAGTGTACTCAATTTTCCATCAACTAATTTGCAACCCTATTCTTCCCCACAGCAACACAGATACCTAAAAGAACATGTTGCTTTGTCTAAAATCCATTCATATACTTTGCTTAAAGATTAATTTGCATAACAGCCATTAATGTCTACATCATTTATCTTAAGCCAGCTGAAAGTTAATGGATATTTCTCTCCTTTATATATTTTTAAACAAATATGTTACATTATAGGTTTCCTGTATTTTAAAAGAAGCCCCTTCATGACCTCACTTCTCAAACAAACCTGTGCATTCCATCTCTTGTGTTCTCTATCAAGCTGATTAATTAAGACTTCTGCAGCTTTAATTGTTTCTTGTGCTTTGCTTACTTCAGCTTCAAGTTTGGCAGCTTCTGAAGTCCTGCTCTGAAATCTATAAAAACATTAAAATTTAATTAAAGGCAAAGAGATTTGATTAAATTATCCTTAGGTAGTAAAGTGAACATTTACATAAGAATTTAATTAATAACACTGACAATATCTGTGTCAAAATATCATTAACAGGACAGACGGATATGCCAACATATAGATAGATAGATAGATAGATAGATAGATAGATAGATAGATAGATAGATAATAGATACATGATAGATAAATGTATATATATATGTATCTATCTATCTATATAGAGAGATAAAGTGTAGCATTCTCACAGGGCCTTAATCCCCTGGTACAAGCTTCTCTATGTGACATTGTTCCAATCTATCTTTTCAGTTTTATTTCATTCTATTCCAGTACAACAAAACTATATATAAAAATCTGAATAATTTTATATTCTCAGAAAATGCTCTACCCTTTACCTGCTGTGCCCTTCTTCGGAATGTTCCATTAGTCTAGAATACCTTCCATTCCTTTCTTATCACTGCCTCACTCCTCACTCTAATTCACTCACACATCTACATGTCAAACATATAAAATTTTAAAATTCACCTCAAACATCTAGTCAATTATATATATATTCTCTCCCTATATGTCCAGTCATCAAAGTTTATAACTTGTTTTGTTATTTTCCTTAAAAAATACTTGTAGGAATTTACTATTTTACTAAATATATTAGTAATATTCCACATGATTACTTAGTCCTTCAACATATATGTAACTGCCTAAAAAATAACCAGGATATGTAAACAAATCCAAACAGATTATTGCACAGTTCTCACCAATAATCCATAGAGGATCTAAAATTCATATATGGATGAGTCTAATATTAAGTTCCATGTATTAACAATACTCCATAGTATACGTTGCCTCTTGAAGTGTCCTATTCCTTCTTCCCTTAAACATAAGACTCTAGAACTCAGATATCGAATATGGTAGTCACTAGCCACATGTGGCTACTTAAATTCGAATTAATGAAAATTAAGTAAAATTTGAAATTCAATTCCTCAGTCATATTTCTCACATTCCAAGTTCCCAATAACCCATATGACTAGTGGACACCATTTTAGATAGCAAAGATTATAGAACATTTCCAACATCTCGTAAGTCCACTGGATGCACTATTCACTATTCTACATCTGGAAAGAGAGACTACACCTTTATTCACTTCAAAAAAAAGTTTACTACACCTTGTATATGGTTTTGTGATAAATATTTGCTGACTTAAATTTACTTATATATTTCTGAACAACTTGTATTAAGAATGGCAAACAACTCCTTAATTTTCTCAAATTAGAACTTAAAAATTGATAGATTGTGTTTATTTTTTAACTCCCTATTCTTTGTAAATATACAAGAAAATAAGATTGTCACTCACAACCTAGAGTCAATTAAATCTTAATTAAGGATCATAACAAATAACTGCATATTAAGAATTAATTCATTCTTGATAATGACTAAAATGAGAAATCCATTATGTTTTACTTAAAATTAAAAGATAATTCTAAAGGTTTTTCATAATAATTCTTCCAAAATATTGGCAGTATTGTATAGTGATTAAGAACAGAAATTTTATGGAGTTAGACAAATCTAGAATCTAATGGTAGCTTAGTCATTTACTAGCTGCTTAACTTAGGCAAAAATAACTTTTTAAATCTTTAGCTTCCTAACACGCAAAACGAGGAAATATCCACCTTTCAGTATTTTTTTAAGAACTAAAAAAGATAAAAGTGTAAAGTGTATAATATAACATCTCACACATGTGCAAATGACTTGTAAATGGAATCAAAATTTGCTGCTATATGCTAACAACTCAATAAATATTGGAAAATTAGATGAATGCTATCTATCTATGTATTGATTCTGAACATATGACACTTTTTAAAAAGAATACAATATTTTTCTTATACTTCTCTAATTATACCTGGAAGAAAGTGATGTGATTTCTTTCCTATATTTATAACAAAAAATATTCAAGAATATTGAAAACACTAAATTTATGAGTTGGAGGGTTTTTTTTGTTCTATAAGCTTTTTTTTCTATAAGTAAATATATAGATAGATAGATAGATAGATAGATAGATAGATAGACAATTATTTCCTGACTATGTATAGAGGAAGAATACATAGTTTTTAGTCTGATAAATTTCTTTCTGGGTACAATGATTTGTGTTTCTTCCATAAGAAAAAAAAGGAAATGTAACACACCACTTGAAAAAAATGTATGTTTATAGAAAAGTTTTAGTTTCATAAAACTGAAAGCAACTGATATATTATATTTAATAGCATACAGTAGCCGCTCCCCCCTACTTTTGCCCTCTAGGGATTCAGTTATCTTTGGTCAACCAAAGTCCAAAAATATTAAATGGAAAATCCAGACATAAAAAATTCATAAGTTTTGGGGCCGGCCAAGTGGTGCATTGGTTAAGAGCTGGCTTGGGACCAGAGGGCCCCAGATCAGATCCCACATATGAGGGCCAGTGACACTGCCCTCTACAGCTAAGATGCTGAACAACAGCTCAACCTGGAGCTGGGCTGCCGTGAGTCACTGGCGACGGCGTAGGCTGCAGCCTCTGCTGCAGTGGGTTGCCATGGGCTACCATGTGTAGCCAGCAGCCAGCGTGAGCGGCCAGCAGCCGCTGTGAGCGGCCGTCCAGAAGCTGGCGACTAATCTGCCTCACCCGGAAAGAGTGCAATGATGGTGCCAACTTGGGCCAGTGAAGCAACGTCCTCCACAACTAGACTGAAGAACAAAAGGACAGCAACTTGTCTGTTCCCCTTCCCCCAATTCCCCAGCGCTGTTTCCATCCCCCAATTCCCCAATAAAAATCTTTAAAAAAAAAATTCATAAGTTTAAATAGCAAGCCATTCTGAGTAGTGTAATTATGTCTCATGTCATTCCACTCATGCCCAAGAAGTAAATCATCCCTTTGTCCAGTGCATCCATGCTGTATATGTTACCTCCCAATAGTCACTAAGTAACCATCTGGGTTATCAGATCCACTAGCACAGTATCAACGTGCCTCTGTTCAATTAACACTTATTTTAAAACTTAATAGTGGCCCCCAAGCACAACAGTATTGATGCTAGCACTTCGGATATGCCAAAGAAAAGCCACAAAGTGCTTCATTTAAGTATAAAGGTGGAAGTTCTCAACTTAAGAAAAAAAATACTATGCTGAAGTTGCTAGATCTACTAAGAATTAATCTTCTATCTATGAAATTGAAGAAAAGGAAAGAAAAAAGAAATTCATGCTAGTTTTTGCTGTTGCAATGCAAGCCACAAAAGTCATGGACACAGTGCATGATAAGTGCTTAGTTAATATAGAAAGGGCATTAAATTTGTGGGTAGAAGACATGAACAGAAAATGCTTTCCAATTAACGGTAACATATTATACCAGAAAGCAATGAGTATATGTGAAGACTTTAACAAGGGATCCCCTGAAACCAGTGACCATATTTGCATAACTTTTATTATGGTATATTGTTCTAATTGACCTATTTTATTATTAGTTATTGTGAATACCTTTTCACACCTAATTCATAAATTAACTTTCACATAAGTATGCATGCATAAGAAAAAATATAGTAGAAATAGGCTTTAGTATTATCCATGGTTTCAGGCATCAACTGGGGGTCCTGGAAAATATCCCCCGTGGATAAGGGAAGACACTACTATAGTCTCCATTTTCCAATCTACACATTTTTTAAAGGAAAATGTTCTCACATTTATAATAATTCCCAAACTAATATTTTCTATCTTACACTAAATAGCAATGACAAGAACCCAAAGGTTCATGAAAAGTTTTAAGATAAAGAATATTCATAGGTGGTCCTTAAATTTGAGTACAATATTTACACAAAGGAATATTTTTCAACACCAAAAGGTACAAAAAGGATAGATTTTAAAAATGTGATTACACACCCTCATGGAACATTATATTAATAGAATATCATCTGAAATAAAGGAGTCTAAAATCTCAAAGTCAAAATAACAAACAAATGGGAATACCAAATATTAACACTATCAGCATTAACTCATTACATTCAATTCCTCTTGTTCAATTTTCTATTACTTGGGAATATATACATATACATATATATGCATACAAGGCCTGACAATTAAGTTCACGAACTTGTTGCAACAATATTGCTAACTTTTTGATATCAGAGGGATTATTCACTATGAATTTGTACCAACTGGTAAAACAGTTAACCAAGTTCACTATTTAGAAGTGCTGAAAAGACTGCATGAAAAAGACCTGAACTTCTCATGAACAATTCATGTCTCTTGCATCACAACAATGCACCAGCTCACACAGCACTGTCTGTGAGGGAGTTTTTAGCCAGTAAACAAATAACTGTATTGTAACACCCTCCCTACTCATCTGATCTGGCCCCCAATAACTTCTTTCTTTACCCAAAGATAAAGGAAATATTGATGATAAAGGAAAGCATTTTGATGACATTCAGGACATCAGTGCTACTATGATGACAGTCTGATGGCCATTCCAGGAAAAGAGTTCCAAAATTGCTTTGAAGGGTGGACTAGGCGCTGGCATTGGTGCATAGCTTCCCAAGGGGAGTATTTCAAAGGTGACAGTACTGATATTCAGCAATGAGGTATATAGCACTTTTTCTAGGATGAGTTCACGAACTTAATTGTCCTATCTCCTATGTATAGTGATAACTATACCAACAGAGACTTAAAATATTTTTGTTCTTATCAAAAAAACATTTTTAAAAAGGAAAATCTTCTATAGTATTTTATACATTTCCCAATCTTAGAGTAATAAATGAAGAAAAGAAGTTAAAATAATAACTAAGATATTCAAAATTCAAAAACTAGTTGAGCTATGTTTTTAAATACCCAAAACACTTTTTAAACTTAACTTACTTCTCTTTGAGTTCCGATACTTTTTGACCAACAGAATTAAGAAGCTCCTCTAGTTTCCTTTTTCTGTCTTCAGTTTTCTTCAAATTTCTAAAATATAATTCATTTTATAAAAGTCATTCTATTTTAGATATTAATAAAATGCAGCAATAATAGCATCTTAAAATGTAATGTGTAGTAAATGACAATGAAAGTCACTAATTCAGTAGTCATAATACTTTTACTTAGAATTTGATATGAAAGAAATGCTAAAATTAAAAGTGTAGTCTCTGAGGGCACTAAATTACATAAAGTAACTACTAACAGAACTAATGGGAGAAACTGACCAAAACACAATTATTTTAGGGGACCTAAATTATCCATTGACCGCAATAGATAGATCATCTAAACAGAAAATGAATACGGAAATATCAATCTTAAATCACACACACTGGACCAAATAAACATAATCAATATTTACAGGGCCTTTTATCCCAGAATAGCAGGTTATCTGTTCTTCTCTACTGCATCTGGAACATTGTCAAGGATAGATCATATTTTTGCACATAAAACTAGCCTCAAAAAATGTAAGAAGATTGAAACCATACAAGTATATTCTCCGACCATAATACTTTGAAACTGGAAATCAATTGCCCAATGAAAGCAGGAAACAAAAACACAAATATGTGGAAATTAAACAACATGCTACTAAACGACTGGGTCAAAGAAGAAATAAAAAAAAAACTCAAAAGATACATAGAGACATATAAGACTGACAATATGACATATCAAATTGTTTGGGATACAGCAAAAGCAGTAATAAGAGGGCAGTTTATATCATTACAGGCTTATGTCAAGAAAGAAGAAAAATTCCAAATAAATAACCTAACATTTCACCTTAAATATTTCAAAAAAGAAGAACAAATGAAGCCCAAAAGAAGAGAAGGGAAATAATAAAAATTAGAGCAGAATTAAATGTAATTAAAATAACAACAATTGAAAAAGTTAATGCAACAAAGGGCTGGTTTTTTGAAAAGATGAATAAAATTGACAAACCTCTATTGGGTTTACTAAGGAAAAAAGAGAAAAGCCTTAAACAAAATCATAAATAAATAAGAAAAAATTAGGATGGACTAGACATAAATACAAAAGACCATACAAGAATACTATTAAAGACTATATGCTACCAAATTAAATAACCTAGATGAAATGAAAAAGTTCTTAGAAATAACCTTCCTAGACTGAATCACTAAGAACTGGAAAATCTAAATAGATGGACCAACAGTAAGGAAATTGAAGCAATCATCAAAAACCTCCTAAAACATAAAAGTCCAGGACCAGGCTGCTTCACTACTGATTTCTACCAAATATTCAAAGATTTAATACATATCCTTCTCAAACTCTTCCAAAAAATTGAAGAAGCAATGGTTCCTAATTCATTTTATGAGGCCAACATTGCCTTAATACCAAAACCTAGACAACACAAAAAAAGAAAATTATGGATCAGTATCTCTGATGAATACAGATGCAAAAATCCTAAACAAAATACTAGCAAATCAAATACAATAATACATTAAAAAGATTATGCATCATGATCAAATAGGGTTCATTCCAGGGCTGCAAGGATGGTTGAACATACAAATATTAATCAATGTGATACACCACATAAACCAAATAAAGGACAAAAATCATATGATCATATCAATAGATGCAGAAAAAGCATCTGACAAGATACAATATCCATTTGTGATAAAAATACTCAATAAAATGTGTATAGAAGGAAAGTACCTTAATATAATAAGGGCCATATATGACAAACCCTTGGCTAATATCATACTCAATGGTGAAAAACTGAAAGCTCTTCTTCTAAGAACAGGAACAAGACAAGGATGCCCCCTGTCACCAATGTAATTCAACATAGTACTAGAAGACATAGCCAGGGCAATGAGGCAAGAGAGAGAAATAAAAGAAATCCAAATAAGGAATGAAGAAGTAAAATTGTCACTTTTTGCAAATGACATGATTCTTTATATAGAAAACTCTGAAAACTCCACCAAAAAACTCTTGGAAAACAATGAACAAATACAATAAAGTTGCAGGATATAAAATCAATGTACAAAAATCAATTGCATTCCTATATATTAATAATGAAAGTTCAGAAAAAGAAGTGAAGAAAAAATTCCTTTTGTACTTGAACAACAAGAATAAAATACCTAGAAGTAAACTTAAGAAAGAATGTAAAGGGCTTATCCACTGAAAACTGAAAGACATTATTAAAAGAAATTGAAGAAAATACAAAGAAATGGGAATATATACTGTGTTCATGGATTGAAAGAATCATCATTGTTAAAATGGTCATATTACCCAAATTAACATGCAGATGTAATAAAATCTCAATGGCATTTTTTTAAAAAATAGGACAAAAAATCATCAGATTTGTATGCAACCACAAAAAAAAAACAAACCCTGAATAGACAAAGCAAACCTAAGAAAAAAGCACAAAGCCAGAAGTATCATCACATTTCCTGACTTTTAATTATACTACAAAATGACAATAATGAAAACAGCATGGCCTAAAAACTGGCCTAAAAACGAACACACAGACCAATGGAAAAGAATCGAGCACAGAAATAAACCCACATATACATGGGCAAATAATTTTCGACAAAGAAACCAAAACATATAATGGAGAAAAGAAAGCTTCTTTAATAAACGGTGCTGGGAAAATTGGAAAGCCACATGCAAAGGAATGAAGCTAGAGTGTTCTCTGTCACCATAGACCAAAATTAACTCAAAATGGATAAAAAACTTAAATATAAGACCTGAAATAATAAAATACATAGAAGAAAACATATTTATCAAACTTATGGACCTTTGTCTTAAGAGAGATTTTGTGAATTTGATCTCAAAGGCAAAGAAAGTAAAAGCAAACATAAATAAATGGGACTATATGAAACTAAAAAATTTCTGCACAGCAAAAGAAACCACCAACAAATCAAAAAGGCAACCAACCAAATGGGAGGATATATTTTCAAACAACACCTGATAAGGGGCTAATATCAAACATATATAAAGAACTCATACAACTAAACAACAACAACAACAAAAAACCAATCCAATTAAAAAAATGGGAAGAGGACTTAAACAGACACTTCTCCCAAGAAGACATACAAATGGCCAGCAGATATATGAAAAGATGCTCAACTTCACTAGCTATTAGGGAAATGAAAACAAAAACCACAATGAGATACCACCTCACACTGGTTAGAATGGCTATTATCAAGAAGACAAGAAGTAACAAGTATTGGAGTGGATGTGGAGAACAAGAAACCCTCGTACACTGCTGATGGGAATGTAAGTTGGTATAGGCACTATGGAAAACAGTATAGAGGTTCCTCAAAAAATTAAAACTAGAGTTACCATATGACCCAGCAATCCCTCTTCTGGGTATTTACCCAAAAAATTCTGAAAACATTTTTCTGTAAAGATATATACACCCCTATGTTCACTGCAGCATTATTCACAGCGCCAAAGACATGGAAAAAAACAAAGTGTCCTTTGATATATGATTGGATAAAGATGTGGTGCATATATACAATGGAATACTACTCTGCCATCAGAAAAGATGAAATACTGCCATTTGCAACACATGGATGGATCTTGAGCATATCATACCAGAAAAATAAGACAGATGGAAAAAGAAAAGAACTATATGATTTCACCCATATGTGGGATATAAAACTGAAAGCAACAAACAAACAAGGCAAATAAATAAACAAAAACTCATAGACACAGATAATGGTATGGTGATTACCAGAATAAAAGGGGGATAGGGGGAGGTATAAAAGTTTAAGGGGGTCAAATATATGGTGACAGAAGGAGATTTACTTTGGGTGGTGAATACACAGTATACAAACGATGTATTATACAATGGTATCTTGAAATTATATGATTTTATTAACCAATATCACCCCAGTAAATGTAATAGAATTTATTTTTTTTAAAGTGTATTCTCTGGCCTAAACATACCACTTTCCGGAGTCTCTATTTAAAAACAGTTGTGTGTGGGGCCGGCCAAGTGGCTCACTGGTTAAGAGTTGGCTTGGGAGCGCGAGCTCTGAGCGGCAGGGCCGCTGGTTCAGATCCCACATGGGCCAGTGACACTGCGCCCTCTACAGCTAAGATGGTGAACAACAGCTCAACCTGGAGCTGGGCTGCCATGAGTCACGGGTGATGGCATAGGCTGCAGTGGGGCTGCAGTGGGCTGCCGTAAGCTACAATGAGTGGCTGGCAGCCAGTGTGAGCGGCCAGAAGCCAGTGTGAGCTGCCGTGAGCTGTCGTGCACAGCCGTCCAACGGCCGGGGACCAATCTGCCTCAGTCAGGAAGAGCGCAATGATCACAATACCAACATGGGCCAGTGAAGCGACGTCCTCCACTAGACTGAAGAATGAAAGGACAGCAACTTGTCTGTTCCCCTTCCCCGATTCCCCAATGCTGTTCTCCTCCCCCAATTCCCCAATAAAATCTTTAAGAAAAATAATAATAATAAATAAATAAATAAAAACAGTTGTGTGTATAGATTTCTGGATAAAAATGGTAAACATAGTCATTTATCTTCTATTCCCCTCTAAAACCCTACCAAATGAAACCAAGGGGATAAAAAAGATATACATGCACAAGGATAAATAGAATGAAAGAGAGTAGGATTGCAGATGAGTAATTTTAATAAAAATCTGAAAGGTGATAACTGACATACCAGAACACAAAGAGCCAAAAGTCAAATGTCTGCAGAAAGAGAAGCCAAAAGAAGAATTCTAAAATACTAAGGAAATGTAGAAAACAGGTACCTTTGAAGATAACAGCTAAATACAGAGGATTGTTTAACAATTGATAGTATAAAGAGTTTCATCTCAGATTCTCTCCCCCACTGAGAGTAGACTATCTTCTTAACACAATCCTGGAAGTCAAGCTTATACCCGTCACCGCCCCCATCCTTCCCTACCAACACCCTAGCAAAAGCTATGAGGATTCTTCTAGAAAAATGACTGACCTCTTCCCTGCAAACTACCCACAAATATTTAGGGGTTGCTATCAGATGGTCAGTCCACACTGCTGCATACTTCTGGGCATCTGTGCAAATCAACTGGAGGGTTTTTCCAAACACAGACTGCAAAGCCTCATCCCCCAGCATATCTGTGTGGATGGAGCTCAAAAATGTGTAATTTTAACCATTCCCCAGGTGATAATGATGCTGCTGGTTTTGGGTCCATGCTTTGAGAACCACTACAATGGAATAAGACCTACAAAATTGTGACATCAACTTATTTCCAGCCTAGTATTCTAAACCCAGCCCAATTATTGGTCACATGTAGTGATAAAATAGAGATAATTTTAGGCATGCTAGATCTCAAAATATTTGCATCCCATTTATCCTTTCTTAGGAAGCTAATGTGGAAGATGCATTCTAGAAAAATGAAGGACTAAACTGTGAAAGAGAAGGGCAGGGACCCATAATAAAAGAATACAATCGGGAAAGACAAAGGTAATCCCCAGAAAAATGGTGAACAGAAGTCTCAAGAGAAGAGCTGTAATCAGCGAACTAGTGAAGAACTAATCCACATTAGAACAGAGGACAAAAGGCTCTAGGAGGTATAATGCTAAGAAAAAAAATAAATAGAACACATAAATTATGAATATGCTTTAGGGTCTGACAGGATAACAGTGGATAAAAATGTGAAATATTAAAAAATCAATTGGAAAAAAGAGGCAATTATTAAGAATAACAAAAAGCTGTACAATAAAGTAAATAAACTCATAAAACATGTCTCACCTGTGCAAAATATTTATATAGTCAAAATAATGATTTATCATGAAAATTTCACATAATTAGATTGCGATAATAAAGAAGTTTAGGATGCTAAAAATATAGGCTCACAAATGTTTGTTTGGGTGAAAACAAATATAAAAGTCCTAAATTTCCAAAATCTACTTTTTGTACTTTAATATTATTCCTTTATAAAGCTTTAGCTCTTTCTAAAGGAACGTCTACCAACTTATACTTCCAACAACATAATAATAGTAGGAAAAAAAAGTGAATTTGTTCTGCTATCCACCTCCTTCTAATTGCTTTTTTCTCTTTTTAGTCTGTTTAACATTTAATTTGTACTTAATTGACTCATTTTATGTTTGCATGTTGTCAGTTGCCTTTTTAGAAATAGACAAGAAATAAATCCTAATAAGATAACTAAGTCATCAAATTGATGAAAATAAATAAAGGTTAAAATTGTTTATATTTTATATGTCACTTACGATTCTAATTCTGCCTGTTCAGTTTCCAAAGGGTGAATTCGTTCCAAGACATGGGAATACTGCACATTTGCTTTAACCCAGGCAGCCAAAGGAGCAGCTGCAGTACTGGCACGCTTAGCATTCTGAAAAACCCATCAGAAGTTATCCAAGCATCGTAACTTAATTTCAAATAAAAGCAAAGTTAATTCTAGTATTTCTAGTATATTTTACTTAAACATTTATTTTATAACATATCCCCCAAAATGAAGCTTTTGGTTTATAACTAAAATAAAATGAATTGCTATCTTAAGATATTTTCTACTTTTTGCTTCAAAATAAACCTTTTGGAATTACATATTATATAATCTTTACCTTTTTTTTTTTTTTTTTTTAGCTGAGCCATCCTGCCACCTGTTGGCAGCTCAGCGGCTGCTCAGCTTGGGCCGGGACTCGAACTGCTATTGCTCAGAGCTCAAACTCTTGCGCGAGCTCTTAACCAACTGAGCCACTCAGCCGGCCCTTACATATTATATAATCTTTAATATAATGATATGTTTTTGCAACGTAAATACTTTATCAGTTACAGTTAGAATATGTCTGTCCATAACAATGTTCAAGCATCAATTCTCTCTATATATGAGATACATCCTTATTAAATAAAAGCAATTTTGAAACCATTGCTATAATTAGTGTCAAAAAAGATGTACAAAATATTCTGAATAAAGGATCTAAAAAAAAATACCAGAATCATGGAATTTAAACTATTCACTGAAATTAGATGTAAGTATCCCAACACAGGTATCTGTTATTATATGACAAACACAGGACAGCAGATAAAATTCAAATACAACTTATGATAATAAATTTGCATACATCCCCCAACCTGGATTCTAGTTTACCTAATTCTGCTGGTGAATGCTTCCTACATATAATACCTATAGCTTTTTCTTTTTAGATTTTAGGCAATCTAAACAATCAATTATGATAAGTCATCATATTTTTAACACGCAAGATATTATATTGTATGGAAATAGAATTTTTGGCCTAACTGTTAAAAATTACCTTTGGATCAAAAGATCCTTTATTTTTAAATAGAAGTTCTTCAACACTTTCTCTTATTTCCTTTGGAATATTTCGTGCATCAAAGGTTGCTATGTCTTCTCTCACACCTCTTTTTGCAAGGAAACTAAAATTAAAGCATATTATTTCAAATGACGTTAAATAAAATTTGCTATTTCTAACAAAAATATCAATTTAACAAAATGGTTTATGCTATATGTTTAACCTATTAGCTAACAACAACAACAAAAGATATTAAGAGACTGAAGTATTTAAGCTTCTAATGGACTAACCATGTTTTTTTATAGGTAATAAAGAAGAATTCCAAAAAGATTCACAACAGTTTTTCTAATATTCTGTGAATATCATTGAGCAGTGAAATGAAGGAATTATACCTGTTATTCTATCCACATCTGTTTATATGAGCCACTGGGTACACATATTTTCGAGGATATGCAAGAAAATTGTCTGACTCTTTTCTAAGAAAGGCATTTTAAAGTGTTCCCTAAACCTGAATCTCCTCTCCCACCTCCTCTCCCACCACCTAAATCGTAAAATGGAATTGAGTATTAAACAAACCACAAGAGCATTGTTATAATGTGAAACCTGAAGCGATATGGTTGCACATTTAGTTAATACTCAGCCTTTTTTCCTGTAGTTTACATCTCTCTATATTACTTGTGTAGGTCTCACTCTTGCTGTCTCTGGGTTTCTGCCAAAGGTATAAGGCTCTTTGAGAACAATAATTATATTTTCTTCATTAGTAAACAATATGCTCTATGTGGTGTGAGGACCAAATAAATGATTATATTTATTGAGACATTCTTAAAGATTTTAAGGCTTTTTTCCTCTTCTTTTGATACTTTTAACAATCACTTATGGAGACAGCAAAATATAGATTTTAATATATGATTACATAATATATTTGAAACATCAGGGCAAAGTGTACAGCCAGGTAAATAGATAAAGTTGAGTTTGAAAAACAATATAAGAAATATTTAAAAACATGAAGGAATGTGTAATTCCTCGATGAAATAATAACATTTTTCACATATTCAAAAACTTACCTCTTCATGCTCACCCAAGATGTATCAAAGATACCCATCAACCGTAAAACACCTTCAAGAATGTCTCTGATTACATCAGGTGGCATACGCAGTGAGCGAATTTCTGAAAGAGATTCTGGCTTAATGTTTCCAACAGCTAGTTTAGCTTCATTGACTAAAGGCTAAAAGACAAAAAGGGCATTTTTACTTTCAAAAAACATATATAAAAAATTGTTAACTCTTTACAAATAATTGAATATTTGTCATTTTAATAAAATGGCTCTAGTTACAAATACTCTTTCTCTTCAAATGTCAAAATCCTTTAAGTACAAACAAATGTTCAAGTTGAAAGCAGAAGAGTTCTTGCCACTATAACAGAAACAGTCTAATTTGGAAATCTAATTTGTTTTAAGACAATTTGCCATTTTCAAGAGGTTCTCTATAGTCTAAGACTAGGTTGGCTAATTTAGTCAAGTCTCAAGAAAAACAGCCTAAGAGTTTGTCTTAATTTACCTACAACATATTTTTTTACTCTACAGTCAAAACAACACGATTCATGAAAAACAAAGATTACTTTTAAATACAATTAGTTAATTTGCCTTCTCATGGCAGACTTTCCTTCTTCTCCTTTTATAAACAATATACTGGTTAAAGCCGCATTTGAAAATACTATTAGAAAATAACTTGAGCAAATAATGTTTAAGCTCCTATACACTACTGGTAATCAAAAACGTAAATACTCTTACAATGTTTCTTCTTTTTTTTTTTTTTAACTTACCTGCACTTCTTTTAATTCATCATCAATTTTGTTTTTTCTTTCTTCAATTTTAACAACTTCTTCTGCTATTTTGTGCTTTAGTCTTTCAAGTTCTGTCTTTTGCTCACTAGCATCCTATAGAAATATTTACATGGCATTCCAATCAGTTTTAATTGCACTCAATATTTAAAAGCATGACACCAAAAATGTAAGTTATTTTAAAATAACATTTTCCATTAAATGCTTTTCTAATGTGAACTGACATGAGTTTCTAAAATGCCTAGGAAACCAATGATATAATTTACTCCATATTTACTTTCAGAAACTTCCTACTTTAACTTTTGAATAGCAAAGTAATAAATGCTTATTATATAAAAAGCAAACAAGTCAGAAATGTATAATTTAGAAAATAATCATAATACACATTTAACACTTGCAACAAACAACCCAGAGAGGTTAGTACTATTATGTTCATTTCATAAATGAGGAAACTAAAAATGAAACCTTCTATAATTCTAGTAGTAGAGACTAATAATTCTTAGAGACTAATTATAGTATATTAGAATTTTGTGTTTCTATACTTTATTTTAGACAAAAATTAGTCAAAATCATGACAATAATATGATGGTAAATATATGAACCAACATTAGTAAAAATTCAAAGAACACTAAATTATATATTAATAACTCATGAACTCTTTGCTCATTAATGCAAAATCAAGGGGACCACATATATAAAAATGCTTGAATATTATAAATGTTTGTATGGGGTTTTTTTGTACTAATAGAAAAAAACAAAGAAGAAACTGGTCAAAAAACTTTCAAAAGTTCTTACAACAGTGGTTCTCAACCATATTACAATCATTCAATGAGCTTAAAAACAAATGCCTAGTGTCCCATCGCCAATATGTTGACATCCTTAATCTGGGGGCAGCTAGGGCAAAGATATTTTTAAAGACATCCAAGGTGGTTCCAATCTAGAGTCAAAATTGAGAATCACTGAACAACCAGCTCTTCTTTGTATCCCACTCTTAAGCTCAAGTACCTTACACATTAATTAGTTCAACTGGAATTTTCTACATCCCACAGCAGTTCTACCTTTGTATCTCTGCTACCATTTCTCAATAGGGGAAGTTATTTTCTCCATCTCCACACATCAAAATCTTCCTTAAATACCCAGCTGATGTGTTCCTTCTTTTATTACCTTGCTCTTCCAGTTGGATATTATTCCTATTCTGAGTTCTTATAGCATTTAATTTGTACTTCCCTTATGTCACAAGTCTAGAGTTGCAAGCTTTAGAAGTGGTACAGTTTGATATTTAAGTTGTGTCTCCAGACTGTATTTTTTTTACAAAATAACAAATGGAAATGTTTACTATTTATAATAAAGCAAAATTATTCATTTATAATATGAGAGGCATATTTATTCTTCTGTCAGGCAATACAATTAGCTACAATCTTAGAAAATATCTTCTCAGAACATACAAGATAAAAGAGTAGTACAGCAGTCACTGTGCATTTCTAATTGTTCACTAGTCTGAAAGTACACAGGCACACATAATGTGGAGTATTTTCCTTTTGTAAATATACAATCATCAACAGTATTATGCTTTACATAGTTTTCACTTTTTTCATATTTTATTCTTTAAAGGTAAGGAGTATTTGACAGATACTCTTTAACAATAAAAATGATGGCTGCTTTAAATAAATATTTATATTAATTTGGTTCCAAAATACCTAAAAAATAAAAATATGCTAAAGTTTTACAGTATGAAAATCACATTTGATTTTCTGATATATTACATACCAGGTCAGGTACTCAATAAAATTATCTTGGAAACACTGAATGTGTACATAACTATCAATTATCTGGAAATGTTTCTGCCTTTGAAAATGTCCCATCTGCCAATGAATTTATTTTGACATACCATTACGTGATTCGCATCAGTCCAGGTAACCCTCTTGTGAAGCTCACAATACATAAGTCCCCTTCCCATATTCAGATTTCCAATAAAGGTGACCAAACATAAAAAGAAACCTTCTTTTGTGAATGGTAAGAAAAAAGCAATCATGTAGGGAGAAAAATATATTTGGAAAAAGTGAAATTCCATAAACTATCCTCTGCAAGCTAAGGAGAGATGTTTCAATAATGAAACAAACAAAAAAAGGACCCTGCCAAAAGGAAACATTTACAGATTTAAAAAAAATAATAGCAGAAATGAAAGACTCAATAAAAGAATTAGAAAATAAAGTTGAGGAAATTCTGCAGAAAGGAGAGCAGAAAGAGAAGAAAAATGGTTAGAAAACAAGAAAATTAGGAAACCAGAATATGAAGCCTTAAGTCCAAATCATAAGAATTCTAAACAGTAAGAATAGAGAAATGGAGGAAAAGCAATTATCAAGAGAATAAGAAATTACCCAGAACTGAAGAAAGGTTTTCAGGTAGAAAAAACCCACATGGTTTTTTCAAACACAGTGAATAAAAATAAACCTAAACCGAGGCAGATTATCATAACTTGCAGAACAAGGAAAACAAATATCTAAAAGATTTCAAGAGAGTAAAAAACCCAGTCACCTCAAAAGGATAAGGGATTAAAATAGCTCTGAGTGTTTAAATCACAATAATGAAAGCTAGAAGACAATGAAACAATGCCTTCAATGTCCTGAAGAAAATGTATTTCGACCTAAAATACTATTCCCAGCACTAGACTAAGGAAGGAGCAGAATGTTTATATATATGTGATCTCAAAATTTATCTCAGATGTATCCTTTCTCAAGAAGCTCTTGGGAATAGACTTCACAGAAGCAAAGGAGTAAAACAGATGGTAATGAAGAATGATCTCAGCATGGCAGCTGTGACCAGGCAGGAAGGCAATTCAGTTCAGAATTGAACAGACAGAAGACTCTATAAGAGAATGCTATAGGTGGCTCAAGAAAATTATAGAATAACTGATGCTTTTTGAAGTCTTGCCAGAATATATATATATTTTTATTTTAAATATATAGTTCATGAAGTCATTCCACTTCCCTTCCTCACTAAGGGAGGACTGGACAAAAGGTTACTTCTCACAGAAATTAAATCAAAGAAGCTCGGATTTGGGATTACCAAGCACAATTAAGGATTAGAATGAGGCCTCAGACTGAAAACAAAGGGATCATATTTTTTGATGACTAATGATGCTATATAATTTTAAATCTATATAATATAAATCTATATAATTTTATTAAACAATGTCACCCCAATAAATTTAATAAAAAAGAAAATAAATAAAAGACTATCCTTTCCCTATTTAATTGGCATTTTTGTATAAAATCATTGGCCATTTATGTATAAGTCTACTCTGGTCTCCACAGTGTTCCAAGGATCTATAAGTCTATTATTATACCAACATCACAGTGCCTTGATTACTGTAGCTTTATAATAAGTCTTTAAATCATAAGTCTTCCATCTTTATTATTTTTAAGTATTTTTGTGCCATTTACTTTTATTGAGATGCATGCTTTTGAAGTCTATAAATACAGAGGGTACCAAAAAAATGTACACATTTTAAGAAAGAAAAAAACTGTATTAAAATTGTAATACTCAATGTATACCAATAACAAAAGATGACTACAAGCCACGTTTGACTTCTACAATTACAAGAGGTGCTCAAAGTGGTCCCATCAGCATCCAGACATTGCTGATTATAGCAAACTACTGCTTGAGCAAAGTTGACCAAAGGGTCCACTTGTATACATTTTTTGCCCCCCCATAGATGTTTTACATTGGTCTTGTAAATATTTTATTTAATTTAAATAAAAGAGGCATTAGACTTGAGGTAAGGTTAAGAGCAACATAGAGAAGGGCAAATTTTAATATTAAGACATAATCAAGGAAGTAAAACTAACAGAATTTAATGATTCATTAGATACAAGAATTTAGGGAACAGAAATCAAATATAATGTGTAAGTTCTGTCTTGAATGATTAGCAATATTGTAGTGCCATAACCCAAGGAAACAGGAGAGGAAAATTATGAGTTCAGTTTTGAACCTGTTTCTAATTGTAGCGCTCATGAGACTTCCAAGAAGACGTGTCTAACAGATTATTAGAAATCTGAGTATGAAGCTCAGAGAAGGGAGTAGGGCTGAAGGACACAAAAGATGGATTTGGTGGTCTTCAGCACGTAACTGGTAGAGAAAAGTAAGGTAATGGCAAGAGCATCCTGAGGGGGCATGAAAGGTACCTGGACAAAAAAAGAACAGAAAAGTCTCCTTTGAAAGTGTTCAACAAACAAAAGACAGTGGCAAAGGGGATACAATAAAAACTTTTAAAAGCTCATGAAAGTATAAACAGAACGAATAAAAACTTATTTGTTAAATTTTGAGAATATGAAGGCAGGGAAAATCATTGAAGCCTGAGGAAGGTAATTTTAAGAAAAATAAAAGGAAATATCAACTTAACTTGCAGAGGGTGAACAAATAAAATCACTTATAGACAAATCTATATGAATTTAAAATGTTTATATTTTTATATTTGTGGGGTTTAGATAAATTAGTTATGATTTTCAAACAATATGGGAAAACACTACACTCTTCCACAAAAGCTCAAGGACACAACACTATTAGTCTGACTCAGCATAGAAAAGCAATATTTTTAAATCACATAGGTAAAAACATTCTTTTTCACACTGATCAACAGTCAGATATAAGTGGTCTCCCTACTGTTAATATTTTTGTGCTCATTCTAAACGTACCTGCATTGATACTGTGATCTCTTGAAGGGCAGCATCTGCTTCATCTTGCTTCATTTTAAGTAATATACTTTGTTCTCCAGCTTTTCTGTTCAGTTCATCCACAAGAGCTTTAGCTTCATTTAGTTTGGATACACCAGCCTACATCAACAAAATATTCACTGGCAATAATTTTTTTTTTAAAAAGGAATTTTATACACACAGTAAATAAAGCCTTTAAGAAAGAATCAAGCAAAAATGTAAATGTGCATATATAAAACATGCACAAGTGAACTTGGGTTTTTTTCTTATTGCTAATTATAATGATTTATTCCATTGTATACCCATTTAGATGTAATAAAAGACTCTACATAGGCTTAAAAAACAGATTTTAAAGCATCACAATAAAGCTGAACAGATCAACCCATATTTGATAGCTTAAACACTGAGGTTTTTATCTACTGCATTAGATGGGAGAGAAAACAGAAAGCAAGAAACAACTCATTAAACCTTTTCCATTTTCAGTCGCATAGACTGGGTAAAAGGACCCAAGGGCCATTCTTCTCATACTGTATAACACTGAATGTGTCTGTCCAATACCTATCCTTTTTCATAAGAGACTGCCTAACATATGGTTCTGGTGAGCTACCATTCAAAATGCTTTACCTGTACTTTGGGTGGTCATTTGACCCTGGCCATTATGGTACCCCATCCCACTGCCCATGGATAATTCAAGGAATGGACATGAAAAATATTCCCTCTCTTCTATAATATGAGTTGGGAGTTTGTCAGAAAATTTGGGGAGATAGTAATGGCAAAAAAGAAATGTAACCAATATTTACTGAGCCCCCAAAATAGAAGACAGCCATCATGCTGGTTCTTTATGTACTTTATCTAATATACACACAAAACTACCACGGACCCAAGTCAGCTGCAAGTCAGCAAGTTTAAGTGATTTATCCACAGAATCATAGAGAACTAAATCAGGAAATTAGTCCTCCCAAAGCATGTATAATTACTGGTTTAATATAAATGAAAGTGAATCAGTAGAAACAAGGATAAAGATAATTTTGTCAATTAAGATAAATCCTAGTTTATTATGCTAACAAATAGAATCTAGAATTTTAGAGAGGGAATGCTCTTGGACAACTTCTGAATCTGGCATTGTAATGCCACATTTAAGTTTAAGCTCTATTAATTAGAGAAATATCAAAAGAAAAATGTTCAGAATGTACTAAGTGAATTGATAAGAATATTATTTGTAGAGTATAATTTTAATTTTAAAGGTTATTATAAATCAGCAGTTCTCAACCTGTGGGTCGCGACCCCTTTGGGGGTCGAACGACCCTTTCACAGGGGTTGCCGGGTACTCGTATGTGGGCATATCTGCATGTGGGCCTGGAGACGGATAGAGGAGCGGTGTCTCGGTTCCTAAGACCATCGAAAATGTGTTTTTTGATGGTCTTAGGCGACCCCTGTGAAAGGTTGAGAATCACTGTTATAAAGCATAATCTTAGATATTATGTTTTAATTAATAATAGGTATTTCTGAATGTCTAAAAATACTATCATGTGAAAGAGACTTTTAAAGATAACACCATAAGTTATCAAACAGCACATAAATACCATCCAGTGAAGAAAAGAAATAACTATTGCATCAAAAAAATTACAAAGCCATTACCATAAATTAGTGGGAAATATAGGGAGGTAAGTGACACTGTTTTAAGGCATTTTAAGGCATTTAATAGAGTACAATATTTATTTATACTAAATATATGCCACAGATAAACATGGAATGGGATATACATAATCCTTATTCCCTGTATGTAGGTAAAATAATTCAAGATTACCAACATTTTACCTGCAAATGACTTTGTCTTTTTAATAATTCCTTTTTCTTGCTGCTATTAATGGCAGAATACACATGTAGAAAGGTCATGTATCGGCTTGGTGTAGCACCATATGCTTTACAAGATTCATGAATTAATAAAAATGATTTTAGAAAATCAGGATCAACTAGAAAGAGAAAACAAAAAAGACTTAATATATGCACGAGGCACTAAGAATTAGAGAATATAATATTAATTATATTTAATTCATACCAGATTCTTCCACCTATGTAACCATGAATATGAGATACCACCTCTGCTTACAGGTACGCAGGCATTCACAGACATCTATTCACAGCTCCCGTTTTCCTTATGAATTTTGAACCATTTAATTTCTATTCTTCCATTTTTATATATTTCCCCTGAACACTTTTATTGCTGCAAGAGAGACAAATCTACAGATTGCCCTATCACATAAATTAATTCGAACTACATAACACATGTAATCCTGAGTAAGCTCAATAAAAGCTGCTTGAATGAAAAAGATACCAAACCTAATAACACCTCCCCACTCCCATTTGAAACAGGGAGAAACAAGAAAGCCAAAAAATTAAGAATATATTTACATTAGATTCAACTTATCATGGCCAAACACATCATCTTCCTCTCACTGTCTCTTATCTATTTCCCTCTGTATTCCTTATATCAGTTAATAAAATCAAGTTCTAATGAATTTTCTAAGCCAGAATCCAGAGAAACAGCCTTGACTCCCTTCTCCCTTTATGCCGCAGTCATTACGTAACTAAGTCCCCTTTAAATTACCTCTTAATTTCTTCCCAAATCCATTCCTTCCTCTTAGATTACTGCAATAGCCTGCTACAGTGGTCCATTTGCCTTCGGTTTTTCCCTATACCAATCTATTTTCCAATAATTGAAGAAAGGGATAGACCTAGAGATTTTTGTTTCTAAAACAAGATTCTGGTTACATCTCTACTAAAATCTCTGACCCCTATCACCCACGAGTTAGAATCCAAATTACTGAGGATGACATGGAAGACTCTTTATTACCTGACCCCGCCTACATGTTCTTCTTCATGTGGTACTCTACTATTTTACATCCTATGTTTCAGGCCGTTAAGCCACTTATAGTTCCATAAAAGTGTCTGTTTTATTTCTCCAAGCCTTTTCCATGCTACTCACTCTAACCAGAATATCCTTACCCAAACTGCCTGTCTGGACAATGTCCATTTCCTACAATATCTGCCACTCAGAGGTTTTACTTTCCAAAGTACTTCATAAAACTTCTACATTCACTGATAATGCTATATCAGAGCTTTATGTTTATATAGAACATAATGCTTTTTTTTTGTTTCAAAACTTTATTGGGGAACAATGTGCTTTTTCCAGGACCCATCAGCTCCAAGTCAAGTTGTTGTCCTTGAACCTTACTTGTGGAAGGTGTAGCTCATCTCCAAGTCCAGTCACCATTTTCAATCTAGTTGGGGGGGGGGGCACAGCCCACTATCCCACGTGGAGTCAAACCAGCAACCTGGTTGTTAAGAGCATGCACTCTAACCACCGGAGCCATCCGCCGCCCACCGGCAGCTCGGCAGCAGCTCAGCTCAAGTTGTTTTCTTCAATCCATTTGTGGAAGGCACAGCTCACTGGCCCATGTGGGAATTGAATAGGCAACCCTGTTGCTCAGAGCACACACTCTAACCAACTGAGCCACCCGGCAGCCCCTGTAACATAATTCTTGCTATCACTACACTATGAGTTCCTAAATCTCTAGTATCCAGCCCAGTACTTAATATAAAACAAGTTCAATAAATATTTAATGATTAGATGGTTATATACAATAAATAAATGAACATGCTATAGTATAAAAGAAATACCGTATTTCCCCAATGTATAAGACGCACCCAGTTTTTAGACCCCAAAGTTTTCAAAAAAGGGTGCGTCTTATACATGGGGAAATATGGTATATAGACTACATTCAAAATTAATTTGGAACTGGAGAAAATGAGAATAGATAAGAAAATATTATGTACATACTCAAAGAATATAATAAAACTTTTTCATGTATAAATGGAGTGCTCTGACCTATCTAAGTGACAAAGTAATATGAAAAATTTAGGCTATTAGCCAAATAACCTAAACAATATAACTAGGCCCTTCAGATCACTGGGATCAAAAATATAATTTTTAATTTCTTAAATTCAAACAATAGATATTCTGTTAGGTCTTATATGCAATGATGTAAATATTTATTTAAAAATAAAAAGGACTTTAAAGTTTAGTTTTCATCAAAATAAATATAACTTGTTAGTTTAGAATTATTCAAATTCAAAATCATTGTGAATCTTTAATGGATCTATAACACTAGAAAATGGCTATTTCAAAAATAAAAGTCAGGTAACATCAATTTCATAAAATACCTGAATTTTTTTTCTTTTCTTCTTTTCTGTTTTTGTCGCTACATTTTTCTTCACTAGTTTCATTAAATAACATTTCAGGTATCTAAAACAGGAAGAGCATTTCTTTAAACCTCAATTCAGTATGAAAAAGTTTAAGTAAATCAAATACCAGGGTTAAAAATCTTTAACACAAAAAAATCCCTGTATCAATTGTACTTTTCTTCTAGAATTCTTTCCAAACAATGAGATAAAAATTAATATATCCATCTTTAGAAAACATTATTCCTAGATAAGATTTTGACATTTATCAACCATTAATTGATCACAAATTAATACTAGGAAAAAGTTCCAATATCTCACTTGAAATAATTAGATTATATGAAACAATGGATATCACAATTTGAATTAAATTAGAAAATAATAACAAATGTCATTTACAATCACAATAATTAAAATATTTTGCATTTATAATAAAATGCCGTCATGGCATAAAGGGATAACAAGGATTCTTAGCTTTCTCGTATAATAAATAACTAAAAGTAAATGAAAATTTCATAATTGATAATTCTAAAAACTATCTGTTGTCTAGCTATAGCTAGGTTTTTGCCATTATCACAAATAAAAAATAAAATCTCATAAACAGATAATTATTATTACAGAAAATATGATAAACTTATAAGATTACCATTTTTAAATATGTAAAAACAACTCTTAGCTTCCTGAGGAAAAGAAAATTCAAGTAGTAGAACTATGAATCAAAAAAGCTTCAACTTCTTTCACCTAACGTAGTTAACATTAATAGCAAGAGAAAACACAAGTAATCCAGATAATTAGGTCAAAAAATCATTTTCTGAATTTCTCAGACTGAGTAAAACATAAGCCAAAAGATTCTTGAACTAAAATGGAGAGTTTGAAAGTGCCATGGTTCTTAAGCCAGAGAATGTTGTTTTTTTCTTGAACACCACTGATTTCTAACAAAACACTTAAGCCTCTGTGAGAATATTTTAAATGTACACTTTTAAATCAATGGAAATTTGTTTCTTTGAACCTCACTTTTTAAAAAATAAACTGTCTGTTACGTTCATTCATTTGATTGTGGTAAACATTTCACAACATGTATATATATCAAAACATCATGCATATATCTGAAATATATATAATTTTTATTTGTCAATAAGGTATTGAAGTATAATTAACAAATAATACTGGGGGGAGGCAGTCTATCCTTAAACAATATCCTACATTAGCAAAGTTTTTCTGCCCAGATTTTCCCACATTCCTCTTTGCCTCCACTTTCCTTCCTTGGGGATAAAAATGACCCTTTCTAAAAAAACTTTAATGGGTATATCAGTGCTATTAATTCCTATTAACACCTTCATCTCTCAATTCTTTGAATTCCTCTCTTTCTGTTATCTTATCCACCACCTTTCTCTCAGCCACTCACCCCCACCTCAAATGGTCATATCCTGAGACTTTGTCAATAACAATAACCAAAGTCATTCCATAATCTCACTTTCAAACACCCCACTCTTCTACCACTATACACCTGTCTTCCTGGCTCGCTCCTTTCACAGTTTCAATAATCCTCAGACTCCACTAAAACCTGCAATCTCTTAATTTGACCACCTTTACACAGTCATTCACCATCTTCCTATTGTAATTTCTCAAATCCCTTGGCCTTTACTTGGTTTGTCATACTAGTGTAGCAAAACCCCAATCCTGGTTAAATGAAAGTCACCACCTATTGGAGGCCTGTATCTTTAAGTGCACATGTGACTAGAGAAAACACACACAACTATGCTGATTGACCTCAACAGAACTTCATGATCCCTAACCTCAAGTGAACCTTCAATGCTACCTAGCTGTCATACTCCATTCTCCGGAACCTTCACTCTTTTACTCTCCCAAACTACTATTTTGCCTATCCTCTTATAATTCTTTAAAACTCCAAAATTTGTTCCCTCAACTTTTCTTGCAACTATTTCACTAAGAAAATGGAAAAAATCAGAAGAGTATCCAAAGCTTTCCAATACCACACCTTCCCCAGACCTGTGTCCCTGTACTCTGCTCTCTCTCCTGTTACTGTGGATGACACTTCCATTTACCAAGCAAAAACCAATCCTTAATCCTTTCATCTCTACACTAGATTCATATGGTGTTCACTAACCAGTGATAGTGCTCTAGCAATTCTTCATTACTTTCCTGTAACATAGACTTTTTGCATTCCAACAGCATATGAACATGCTAGTTTGTCTCATCTTAAAATTAAAAAACAAAAAAACCACTATTTTTATCCACTTCCTCCAGGTACTGATCCATTTTTCTCTTCCACTGTATAACAAAATTCCTCAAAAGAGGTGACCATCTTTACTCTCTCCTATCCTGTCTTCTCATTCATTCTCAAATGTGTTCCAGTATGGCTTTTTCCACTACTAACTGAAACTGCTTCATAAAGTCACCAATGACCTCTGTGCTGTTAACTCCAGTGATCAATTTCCAGGCCTCACTTACTTTCATGTGTCATAGGTACTCCTTCGAAAGGCTGTGGAGTAGAGTGTGGGAATGGAGTCAATGGAATTGTAATAGGTAAGTATGAAATTGGGGGTGGGAAGGCAGTGGATGGGGGAGGGGGGTTGTTACTTTGTGAGGGGGGGAAAGGATAACCATTGCATTGTTCTGTACACCTGAAACTAATAATAATAAAAAATAAAAATAAATTTAAAAAGGCTGCCTTCACTTGGCTTCTAGGCTTTGCTTGTCTTCACGCTCTGCAGGTTTTCCACTATTCCCTAGCAGCTCCTTCTTGGTGCCCTTTCCTGGTACCTCCTCTTCATCTCAACATCTTAATGTTAAAGTGTCCCAGCGTTCAGTCTTTGGATCACTTCCCTCTTTTGTTAACACTCACTCCCTTGGTGATATTCAATCTCATAGCTTTAAATACCACCTATAGTTTAATAATTCTCAAATTTTTATCTGTATGCCTGGCCTTTCCCCTGAACTCCAGATTCATATATCCCAAATCCTTCCCTACCTTGCAACTTCGGTTGTCTGACATCTCATATTTAACACATCTAAAACTGAAAGCCTTACATTGTCCTCTCAAGATGTTCTGTCTCCCCCTTCTCAGTTGACAGTTATTCCATCCTTCCAGGAGCTCAAGTTGACATACTTAGAAGTACCCTTGCCTCCTCACTTTCTCTTACACTTTATTACAGTCTGTCAGCAAATCTTGTTGTTTCCACTGCAAAACATGTCCAGAATCTAACCACTTCTCAACACCTCCACCACTACACCCCTAGTGCAATCCATCTTTTCCTGTCACCTTTTTTTTTTTCTTATTCAAAGAGTTTTGTTACTACTTCAGCCTTTGGCCTCTATAGTCTATTTTCAACCCAGAGGCCAGAGTAATTCCATTAAAATATTAGACGAATTTTGCTCAAAAACCTCCAAAGTATCCCTTACTTATTCCCAGGAAAAGTTAAAATCCTTATAACGGCTTACAAAGCTTCACCCTAACTGTTCTCCTCTTACTTCCCTGACCTCATGTCCAACTACTCCCCCCATTAATAACTGTTATAAACTGGCTTCTTGCTGATCTGCAAAATCATCAGTCCTATCTCAGGATCTACCTAGAGAGCTTTTTCCCCAGATACCCCGCCCCCACAAAGAATGTGAATTCCACGAGGGCAGGGACTTTCTGCTTTTTTTCTTGGTTATATCCCCAACATATAGAATAGCAGCACATATTAAGCACTACTTCTTAATGAATGCCTCTTGTTCATGTGGACTCCTTAGCCTAGAATAACTTTTCTCTCCTTTATTTAGTTACTGAAATCTGACTAAAATACCATCTTATCTGTAAAACTTTGTCTATTATCCCAAATTACACTCCTTCCTCTAAATTATGGTAGACATTAGTCTGTACTTCTATTACACAAAAATAAAGAAATGAATGTTGTGAATATGAATATCAAAGAGACAATATGAAAAATTATTATTTATCCAAATCAAAAAATATAAGAGGCTTCCAGTTAAGATGGTGCTGAGTTCACACTTTATATCATCCCCATCCAAACATATAAGATAGCAAAGACAGATTTTTAAAAAACTTTTTGAATTTAAAAAATTGCTAAAATTATTAATGTGTTGTTTTTATTATAAGCAAGCCTATGATAGGCAAGTTAGTAATATGCATAAAAATTTTAAAGTACAATAAATTTCTCTGTGGTCCTTAATTAAGGACAATATCTTCAACCTAAAATTCTAGATGCAACTAAACTATCACACAAGGGTATGAAGAAAATAGAGTTATTTTCATACATATAAGAGATGAGCAGTGCCACAATTAAGGCAATATTATACCAAACACCAAAGGGAAGTTGCGAAAATCAGTAACTTCAAAAAGAAAATGTGCTTGAAGCCAGTTTTTGAAGGTGTTAACCTGCTGCTGCCTTCTCAGACAACCAGTGCTCTGACAATAGTCTTATTCTATAGCTCCCTCCTCCCCCGCAAAAAAGTGCTCATTTTTTATTTCTATATTTAAATTTAAACTTACTTTTTTCATGCTGCTATCTGACCAACCTTCCATCCACAACACCTGGCATTTCTTATGCAGTGCTGGATTACTCTCACAGTTAATTATGAAGTTTAAATTTGCACAATCCATTATTAAGACAATATGCAAGTTTTGTTGAATTCCTAACAAAAAGAAAATAAAATTATAATTATGGAATATTATAACAATAATAATTTTGGTAACCTATAAATGGTCCAATTTATCAGATTAAAATTCTTAAATGAAATAGTAGGAGCTATTTATTAAAAAGAACAAGCTATGAAACAATATTACGGTATGATTTTCATTTTGCTTAAAATATATTTGTGTTTATGTGTATGTGTGCATACTAACAAAAAATATTCAGAAGGACATTCATGAGGAAGATAAGTGTATATACTACATTGCTATTTTGTATGTTATTTTCAAATGTGATACTGGATTCAATTTTATAGCTATTCTTTCAAAAGTTTTTATTTCAATGTTCACACGCAAAATTATCTTTGGTTTTCTTATAGGGGAAATATATTTTCTTTGTGTCAGTATCAATGTTATATTCCTTTCATAAAAAGGAATTTGGAAACTTCCTTTATTGTCTATGTTCTGAAAAGTTTAAAGTAGCGTTGAGATGATGTTTCTTAAAGGTGTGGTAGAATTTCCTTGTAAACTTGAAGGAGAGAGAAGGGAAGAAAGCTCTTTAACAACTTTCTCTATTTCATCAATAATGTTCTTTGAAAAAAAAAAAAGAAAATAAGTGTAGTGGTAATGTCTGGGTGGTGTTATTATTTATTTATTTTTTACTTACTCAATTTTAGATATCTACAGTGCACATAAAACTGTTTCTGTGTAATAATAACAAGGTATTTCATTTAAAAAAAATCTATAGAGTCTGGCACACTCCAAACAGATCATTAATTCTCTAAGACAGGAGGTGTAAGTACCAATTTTACCACATGAAAACAAAGGCAGCAAAGTAAGTGTTCCCAAGAACACCACCACACTTTCATGCTCCCCTTTTGCTAAAATTTTACTAACATGTTTTTATTATAGATTAGCCTTTAGCATACTTACACATTATTTTCTGAAAGCTCCACAAAAAAGAAGTATAAATTAACTGGACTCAAAATTTAAGATATCTTTGCAATCTATAGAAAATAAGGCAAATTAAATAATATGTATTTCACATGAACCAGGGTTTGAATTGATTAATGAATTATATGTCACTTACTATATGAGAAGTAATTGAAAACTGGTCCAAAAAAACCATCCTGTGAAGCCTGATCTTTAAGCGGCAACAGCAAGGGCTCTAATTCTTCAAGAGTATAGAGTCCAGGAACTTCACCTACAGAAGAGTGTTACATTTCTTTTGAATTTTAGCTGCAATATACTAATTCAGAACTTGTTTTACACACAGAATGTTTTCTTTTTCTATTTTTGTATTAAACAATCTGCCCTTATTCAATCTTGGTTTCTTAAAATACACAAACACTATCACCTGTATATTACTCACAAATCTACATCTGTGCCTTCATATGATAAAATTCAAATGCCTAAGCAAGCCATTCAAGACAGTTCATAATATGCATTTATCTGCCTTTCTAGGTTCTTCTTCAACCCTCAGTCACAGACCTTGTATCCTAGCTTCAATGAATTTCTTGTGTTCCATAAATATAACGAAACACTCCCTCTTCCTGGAGTATTTACCCATAGTCTTCCTCTGCCTTATCTTCCCCCCAAATTACTGTTTCTCCTTCAAGATGCTACTTTGCCAACTGCTATGCCCATGAGCTTTTCCTGACTACCCATATGCTAGGTAAAGGACTCTTTTTCACATAACCTTCAAATATATCACTGTCTAGCATTTATCACGTATTTAATAATCTAATGCCTCCCCATTAGATTCTGAAATCCCAGAAGACAAATATTTGATCATGTTCAGTATTAACCCTAGGGCATTCTTAGCAAAGTATCTGGACATTAATATTTGTTAGATAAATAAATGAATGAATGAATGAATGAATGAACAAACTTTTATTAGATATCAGGAGAACTACTCCATGGATTGCTAATATGTAACAAAATGGTGAAAGGCAAATAAATCAAAGTTGATTAAGACTACAAGCATTTGATAGAGGGACTGAACCATGTCTTTCTTGTTTACAGTATAAATCCAGTATTTAGAATTGGGTCTGGCACATAACAGGTGTTTAATAAGTATCTGTTAAACCAATATATTTATAGTTCATAAGAAACTATAACATTAAGTGAAAATTCTTTTGCTAATCCAAAGCACTGCATTCATATAGGGCCAATCACAATTTGATCCCTATTTTTTTTTAGGCTCAACTGAGAGGTATCAGACCACTTACCATTCCCCAAGCTTGTACATATTCAAATACATGCACACATATACAAGTGTCTGCTCTATTTCTTTCTAAGTTGCAGCCATACCAAGATACTTTTGATTCTGTAAGTTCCATAAAGAAAGCTGGCTCTATTTACATATTATACAATATAGGGAATAAGAATTTGATATAGAAAAAAGAGACAAAGGCCTATTGAGTACTTTCCCTGTATTTTTTAAATACATTTTTTTGCCAAAAATATTGGCAAAATTTAACTTTGTCAAAATTTAACTTTACTTATGATTTTTCCAGTTATATCTTGATAATAAAGACCAATTTATGTTAAGATAAAAACAATAATTACTGGGTTAATGTTTATTGGGATATTTGCTTTCACAAAACAAACGAACAAAAAACCCAATACTGTAGAGCTGGTCTATTTCCTCAGCCAAAATGAACAAGGTCTCCATCTAGTGACAACTTAAGCAATATTCAAGAATAAGAATGTGCACCTTAAAAATTAAAAGAGGTTATTCTATAAAAAGGCCACGAACACTTCAAGCTTGCTCAAGACCTACTGTTTTCACTGTTCCATTACCCTTCAACTCTTTAACAGAAATTGACAACACTTGGCTAACTAGATTCCTGGTTTGTACTTCTCACTTGGGCATTAAAGTATAGATACCTCATATTATAAATTAAATGTTTTCTTCAACCAAAACTGTTAAATTCTGAAGAAAAGAATGTTTTATCCAAAGTCTACATCGCATGATACAAAACAAGTATTTATTGGCCAGCCAAGTGGCTCAGTTGGTTTTAAGAGCTTGCTCAAGAGTGCGAGCTCTGAGCAACAGCAGTTCGAGTCCCAGCCCAAGCTGAGTTGAACTCGGGTTTCCACAACCCATAGAGTTAAAACTAGCTTTTAACAAGATTTATTTTGTGCTTAAGTAACAAAATACTCTTGGTCTAAATTGAAAACTACGCCACCAACACCAATTCTACGAACAGTGATTGCTCATTATAAAGAGATTCAAATAAATTTCATAAATTCTTCAGAAAAGAAAGAAATATGAGAAACTGCAGGTATCCTTCTCAGGAAACCATTGAAAAAGTCAGATGGCTCCAGATACAACAGAAGTACACCATGATTTGTGATATATGAGATCTTATATATCTGGGAATATCTGGATTCATATGTCCATAGTAAGGCCATACCATAATTATTCAACCATTCCAGTAGTGATGGACAGTGAGATTGTATCAAAATTTGTATTGCAAATTATATTACATATTTCTTACATACTAGTCATTTTATTTCTGTGGGTTAAATTTCTACAGATAATGGAATTGTTATATCAAAGGACAAGGCACCTTTTTTAAATAAGTACTGGTTGATAACTTTCCCAAAGGGTTATAACAGATAACAGTCCCACCAAAAGTGAATATGAGGACCAATTTTTCAGTATATGCCCCAGTATTCAATATTAATAATAATTTGTACATGATTCTTCAATCTTGGATTTATAAAAACAAACTTCTCAATTGTCCTGATGTAAGCATGTTTCAGTACTTTTATTTTCTTTGAAAAGAAACCATTCAACTGACCTGAAGACAAAAGGCTATTGATCATCTCCAAAAATGTGGGATATACAAACTGGTAATCCTCAAGAAGGAAAACTACCTGCTGTGCTTCAATACCTGCAAGATGCAGCACCTGCACGATAAGAAAATATTTTGGTACCTATTCAATATTTTTGCCACAGTTAAAAACTTTCATTCTGTATGTAAACTAAGCCACGTTATTTATTTATTTATTTATTTTGGGGTAATCAAAATTAAAAATCAAATGTTAGCTATATAGCTTGGAAAGTAAATCCAGTCCATAAACAAATACTATTTGGGGAAAATCTTAATTATTTTACAGCTAGGACAGTAAACTATAAGTTAGAAGATCATTTTTATATATGCCCATATATGTCCTACATAAATTCCTTCCTTTTGTTTATTTCATGTCCATCTAACACTCCATTCTGGAATACCTGAAAGTTAGAAATATTAATAGGAAGGAATCTTTTTCCTACCTGTACATAAAAATATAATTTTCTAATAATCATGGGGAAAATAATCAAAATTTAAAAAAGACTGTATATTTGTATATCTGAGGCTAAAGGGGCCTTTACAGGCTTTCAGAATAATTGTGATTTAAAACCAAATAAAGCAAAAGGTTGTGAATAACTCACATGTTTGAGATCATTTTTGAACTGCTTCAGTTCATATCCTCTGGAAATCTTTGGAGAAAACAGCATTGCTCCATGCATATGACTGACTAAAGAAGTGATGGTGCGACGACCCACTCCACTGCGTCCTGCTAACAGAAGTGAACCTCCAGGAAAACTCAGCACTCTATCTATCCTAGATATATACTCCAGGACTTCTTGGAAAAGTAAGATATCTAAATTCTGGTTATCTCGTCCATAATGAATAAGACCCTTTTTAAAAAAAATCACAAAGAATATTTAACAATTAGTATCAGCCCCAATTACATAATAAAAATGTTAATTAAATATAATAGATTAAGATATTAACTTTTGATACACTCTAGAAAAGGGGTCATATAACTACATGTCATCTCACACGCTACATTTTATCTATCCAGGAATCCAGCTTTATAACACTTTCTAAAGAAAAACTTATATGATGTCAAAGAAGTTCAAGGGTTTGCAATACTCACTTTTGGACATCATTACTAACGAGTAGTAAAAAGCAGTATGAGGTAGTAAGTTAATTCTAAAAACTTCAAAAGCTCTCAAATTTCACCATTTGTAACAAATCAAGCCACAATGCTCATAAACAATGCCAAAACTCTAGAAACTTAGTGCCTAAAAATATTTTGTGAACTCTTGTTCTTACACACTGCTTGGAAATGAATCAAAAGCCCACACACAGGTGGTATAATGCCCAGTCAGGAACTAAACTAAATTAGAAGAGAGAGAAGAAACTAGACTTCACATACCTAATAACTTTGAACATTTCCAAACTTTGCAATATCCATACCAGGCAAATCAATATATTTACCAGACTGTGAAAATTGTTTCTTGATAGATAAAATCCACACTAACTTCCAACATAAATATTAATTCTCAAAGCAGTTATATACTATTGTTTCTTCTTTTTTTATTAAACTTAAAAAAAAAATACTCTAGGATGGTGCTACCAAAGTTTCAGTGAACTAACAGCATCAACATCTTCTGGGAGCCTGTTAGAAATTCAGGTTCTTGGAGCCCCTTTACTGATCAGACTTCTGCAGGATGAAATGCAGGAATCAGCATAGTTTCTGGTTCTAGACGTGATTCTGATGCTCACCAAAGTTTGACACCACAGCTCTCGGATGTTTTCCCAATTAACATTGAGCCTCATTAATATTTCCAACATCAGATACCTTCTCCCATGTTGGGAGCCATGAGAGCTGTTTGTTACTTGCTGCAGCCTTGAGAGCTGCTTGCTACTTGATACTTTTTGCAGCCTAGGCAAATGCTTGTGCAGACCCTGATAGTCTGGTGAGAACAGCAAGTTCTTGAGAACAAGGAACCAAGCGCAGTTACAGCCTTGAGAAAGTATACTTAGTATAACTGCTTAGCTAACCGGAGGCTTGGCTTATCTAAGAGGGACAGAGAGTGATATTGTTAATTGTATGATCTAATACTTTGTACGCACGCAGTGCCTCCCTTAAATATGCTGTGTAAAATAAACTCGGTGCTTCAGTATTTACTGGAGTCCTCCTGGTAACTCTCTCTCTTCTGTCTCTTTTTTAATCCTAGCGCCCCCCACACTCCCTCAGGACTGTTCAACATATCGGCTGGCTCCAATACTCCCAACATATATCTTAACAATTTCACACATATCTGTGTAACTGCATGTGCATCTAATTAGATCTGCCACAAAGAACTAAAGTCTAAAAGATAAGACCCAAATTTGTCTTTTCTATATTCTTTTACTCCATGCCCTCAAAAAGCTTGCAATAAATATTCTAAAAATTGACTATAATCATTAACCAAATCCAAATCCAAATTCATGATTCATATTATACCTTTCTAATAACATCCTTGAGATCTGCAGAATTTAGTTTTCCAAGTGGTTTTCCATGTGGAGGCAGCAGTTGTCCTGGGGCTGCCCTTGTTCCTGAGTCATGCCGGGCTCCCCATGTAACATAGAAACTATCTGTAGAAATAAAAGATATTTTGTTTTATAATTGTTATTTGTAATGAAAGCATCAGTAAATACTTTGCTTACTAAATCATTTTTAAATTAATCAGTCGAAATAAGATCATCCCCAGAAAGGCAAGGATAAATTACTTTAAAGTGTGCCTTAGAAGATCGGTAAGATCAGTGAAGATACAAAGACTTAAATTGCTATATCAGACTCTACCTGAAAACTAACGGATGGGATCCTGATTTTATGTTTGCACCTTACTTCTCTTTCCTTCCCACAAAACGGCTTCCTTCTAACTCTCTTTCCCCAATTATTAACCCCTTCTATGCATTTGTCCCATTTTCCTTCACCTGCAGAATCACCATATAAAATTTATAGATTGAAAATAACATATAAAATTGGCAAATAAAATAAAATAATCTCAAACTCTCCTTGAGAAACAATATATATTAATTCCACCAAGAGCCTAAAATTCTAAAACAGAAAAAATAAAATAACCAAATTTTAGTTAGAAAACAAAAATCCCACAAACCTCCCTGAAATTTATCGATAGCAGTGTTCCTGTTACCACACAAGGAAAATCTGTTCCACACTCTGTTGCACTTTCCCCTCTCAATTCCTATGGGAGACCGTTCCATCAAGCATCCTCCCTGTCCCATGCCCAGCTCAACAACAGCCTTCCCTTCCCGAGACCCAAGTAACTTCATGATCCTTCCCTCTCCTTCACCATCACAGGACTTAGATTATCTTCTCATTATCTTTCTTCCATTATCTTCTATCTTTGGAAACCACTATAGCAAAATTCTTGTTTGGGAACAACAATATTGCCCTAATCGCCAAATCCAAATCTTTTTTGTAGTCATTACCCCATCATGACTGTGTGTGTTTCCTTATTGGAGCTTTTTTCCTTGGATTTATATGACCAAACTCACCAAGTCACAACCACTTCTTTTCAGTTTTTGGTTTATCCATTATATGTTTCTTTTCCCTGCGATCAAATTCAGACTTCTGTTCTTTAATTCTAAACACTCCTTTGAATTATTGAATCTTATTCTGAGGATTAAATTATCAACTAGTTATATACCAAAAAACCCATTCAGTACTTATACCTAGGCAAGTCTCCCAAGCTCTAGCTTAGTCCCATTATTTCCAATTGCTTAATTCATGCATTCATTCATTAAACACTTATTTATCACACACTTGTATTTAAACATTGTACTTTCTGTTAGAGATAAGTACTGAATAAGACAAACACGACTGCCACCTTCATAGAGCTGATAAACTTTATGCAGAGTCCCAAGACATTCAAAAAGCTTACAAACATTCAAATACATGTATAATATTTTTATTTAGATCTCATCATTTCTCTTTATTTACACCTCATCATTTCTCACCTGGACTATTGCAGTAGCCTCCTAACTTGTATCCCTGTGACAAGTCTCTGCCCCCTCAATTATATCCCCACAGCTACTAGAGTAACACACACAAAAACAAAATCCGATTGTTCCACACCACTCTGATATCACATATAGCTTCCCACTGCCACAAACAAACAAATGCCATAGTCCTAATCAAGACCCTTTGCAATCTGGCTCCACTGACTGCTTGATCTCCTGTCTCCCTCTCTGCTTCGCTACATGCTCCAGCTTTCTCAAGCCTTTGTTCTTCACATGTTCTGTTTCCTTTGTCTGGAATGCCCTTCCCCTCTTCTTCACTTAGTATTTTCAGCCTTTAAGATATAGTTGAGGGCCGGCCAAGTGGCGCATTGGTTAAGAGCTGGCTTGGGACGCCAGAGGGCCCCAGTTTGAATCCCACATATGAGGGCCAGTGACACTGCCCCCTACAGCCATCCAGAAGCCGGCAACTGATCTGCCTCACCTGAGAAGAGCGCAATGATGGTGCCAACTTGGGCCAGTGAAGCAATGTCCCCCACAACTAGACTGAAGAACAAAAGGACAGCAACTTGTCTGTTCCCCTTCCCCCAATTCCCCAGCGCTGTTCCCATCCCCCAATTCCCCAATAAAAATCTTAAAAAAAAAAAAAGATACAGTTGAAGTCTCTGTAATTGCTCAAAAAAATTAAAATCGTAGGTGTTAATCTAACAAAATAGGTACAGGACTTGTATGCTAAAAACTACACAAAACCAATGAAAGAAAACAAAGACTATTTAATAAATAAACAAATATATTATGTTCATGGATTGGAAGACTCAAATAATAATGATGTCAATTCTCCCCAAACCAATATATGGAGTTAATGCAATTCCTAACAAAATCTTAGCAATTTGTTTCTACATATAAACAAGATTATCCTAAAACTTATATGGAAAAGCAAAGAAACTGAAATAGCTAAGACTATTTTGAAAAAGAATAAAGCAGGAGGAATCAATATATCCATTTTCAAGACTTATTACATAGCTACAGTAATCAAAACAGTGTGGTATTGGCAGAAGGACAGACATACACATCAATGAAACAGAATAGAGTACCCAGAAATAGGCCAACAAAACTAATTTTTGACAAAGGTGCAAAAGCAATTCAAGGCAGAAAGGTAGCCTTTTCAAGAAATGGTAGTAGAGCAAGCAGACATCCGTAGTCTAACAAATAAATAAACCTTCATCTAAATTTCACTCTTTATATAGAAATTAACTCAAAACAGGACCATGAATTAAAACATGAAATTACGAAACTTTTAGGGGAAAAAAACCTTCAAAATCTAGGACTAGAAAGAGTTCTTAAACTTGACTCCAAAAGATCCTTAAAAATAAAAATTAATGAGTTGGACTTCGTAAATTATTAAAACTTTTTTTATCTGTGAAAGACCCTATAAGAGAATGAAAAGACAAGATACAGGGTTGGAGAAAATATTTGCAAGCCACATATTTGACAAAGGACCAGTATCTAGAATAAATATAAATAACTCTCAAAACTCAAAAGTAAAAAAATAAACAATCCAATTGAAAAATGGACAAAAAAAGATGAAGAGACATTTCATTGAAAAGGAAATACAGATGGCAAATGGGCCCATGGAAATATTTTCAACTTCATTAGCTGTCAGCAAAATGCATATTAAAACCACAATGACATCAATACACACTAATCAGAATGGCTAAAATAAAAAAGTGACAAAACCAAATGCTGGCAAGGATGCAGAGCAATTCCATCACTCATATATCACTGATGTGAATATAAAATGATAAAGCCACTAGAAAACAGCATGGCAGTTTAAAAAACAACAACAACAACAAAAAAACAAATTACATACAACCCTACAAGTGCACTCCTGAACATTTATCCTAGAGAGATAAATATGTATGTTCACACAAAAACCTGTACATGAATGCTTATCACAGCTTTCCTCCTAATAGGCACAAACTGAAAATGACCCAGATGTCCTTCAACAAGTAAATGGTTAAAACAATGGTAGTTCTTCCAAATATCCACTCAGCAATAGAAAGGAACAAACTACTGAAACACGCAACAATCTGCATATATCTCCAGAGAATTATTATGAGTGAAAACAAGATTTTTGAAATGGCAGAATTAAATACAGAATAAATTGGTGGTTTCCAGGGGATGAAAGGGGAGTGGGTGTGGCCACGAAAGGGCAACAGGACAGATCTTTGTGGTGATGTCCTGTGTCCTAAGTGTGTTAAAGTCAGTACAACCCGGTGATGATGTTGTACTAACATAATGTGCCAGGTGTTCCCACTGGGGGAAACCAAGTACAAGGCGTGTGTGCTCTCTCTGCATTCATTCTTACAACTGTATGTGAATCTACAATTATCTCAAAATAAAAAATTTATTTTTAAAAGTTTCAAAGTAACTTCCTCAAAAAAGAATTAGTCTCTTCTTCTCTACATCCCTAATATCTAGCATTTACAAACCAAATATATTCAGAAAAGTTGTATTAATTGTAAAACACTTCATGCTCTATTGTAATTACCAGTTTCACATCTACTGGCACCCATCTTTATGGCATCTAAACACACAAGCTGTAGTGATCACTGCAAGCGAGAGCTTTCCTATCTGTATCTGCCATTAGTTTACAAGTTTCTTGAGCAAAAGAATGTATCTACTTTAAATCTCTAAAATTAAATTTTTCTTAATAAGTTAATATTTCACTATATGAAAATCCTATAGCCTATATCTAACATATAGCAAGCCTGTATATTTTTAAAAAATACAACCCTTCATTTAAAAACAAAATACTGAGTGGAAAAAGGCATTTATTGGGTCCTACACAGGAGACTCTGAAAGATAGTAAACTCTAGATGATTCAGATATCCGATAAGACACTGATACTATCTAATGCCCCCAAAATATGCCACTTTCTTTGCAAGAAAAAACACTATTAACTCAATTTTCAGACTGAGAAAGATGGCACCATTTAAGACCAAAGCCTCTCCACACTAAACCATTAAACTACAGTCCACAGTGACATAAACCCTCACTCAAAATCAAGCCAACTCTACTATTATCAGGCTTCTCTAAGATTTCATCCTACCTTAGGTTCTCTTGAAATCATTTCCTGATTCCAAAACTCAAGCAGCACCTAGAAAATTACTTCTATCGATTTCAACATTCTTTCACCTTCGAGATTCCTTTGGTTTATGTAATTATGACCCTGGGACCAATATCAAATCTAAAAATGCACCATATATAGAATGCATTATATGAAATATTTTTGAAGCCTAGCTTTACACTCTAATACAACAGAAATTCATTTTGTAGCTTGAAAGCAGTTTTATTAGGAAATATTTCCATAATATGGTCCTCTTTTATCAAAAGCCCTTTTACCATGATGATTTTCATCACATGCATTACTTCCACAGCAGTTTTCAAAATGCAAATTTGTTGGTAAGCACTAATAATTACAAATGCTACACAGCTGCTTTGACTGAATGTTGTCATGCTTTGTTTATCAAACTGTGAGTGAAGCTGTTAAGAATCTGTAAGAAGTTCTGTGCTAATGGCATTATGAGCAGTGACAGGAATGAGAATGGTCACTACTCTCAAGAAATATTCATTATAACTGACTAGAGAGTTTCACAATAATCTTTAAGTTTCATACATATATAACCATTTAAAAACTTTATTAGTAAAAATCTTTCAGGAAATACAATTTTGAATTGCAAATGTTATACACTATGGCCCAAACCCCTTTTTGTCCAAGAAAACAATTATTGTCATATTTTGTTTGGAACATAATTACTGAAATCTAACAAAAAAGACAGAGCAGCCCCTTACAGTAAAAATAACATTAAAATTATCCAAAGTTTTGATTTGTTTTAACATATAAAATTATGCTACTAGTATGAAAAATAATTTTAAAGTTATCATAACACTTATATATTTATATAAACTCTCTAACTATATTACCTGCCATATTGTCTAATATATCTGAGCCCCAATCTCCTTGAAACACCGATGTTAAAATGCTGTCAAATAAATGAAGTTCCTTTGCACCAACAATTTTGTCACGAAACAAGCGCCGTGCTTCATACGCTACAATTTCTAATACATAATCTAGTGGATGTTTTGAAGATCCTAAAAAAGGAAAAATTTTCTTTAATTGCAATAAAATTCAAATAATTTGAAACTGGTCAGTTTCAACATAATATTAGAAAAAAACAGAGAATGAGAATCTACATACCATAATTTTGGCATCAGATAAATAGAAGAAAAGAGAAAAAAAGTTTAAATGTATTTTGTTAATGAGTTGTTAATTTTTTTTGATTATTTAAAGCATACACTGAACACTATTATCTCTAGTTGATCAATAAAAACATCAATCCCAAAAACATATTAAACATGCTTTGGCTACAAAGAATAATAACTTCATTTTTACCAAAATCATGTTTTAATTGTGTGAATCATAAATAGTTTAGATAAGAAAGCATAATAAACAATTTAATATTAATGTTTAAATTTAATGTTACTTTTCTTACAGTTTTTAAAATACCATAGTTACAATACTCATTTAATATATGTATTACAAACAATATATAACATAAATGTATACACATAAACACAGATACACTGTGGCATTCTAAAGAAAGATTAAGTGATTTGAACTCAGGAAAGCAAAACTTACCTCCTTCTAAATCATATCTGAATAAGCCAAGAACCCACTGGGTAAGAATACAGGGAGTAAAGAAATAGTGACTATAATCATCAACTGTAAATTTGGCTCGCACCTGAAAAATGAAATACAGTAAATGACCTGTCTATTTTCTTAAATATATAATCATGCTATAAAATTTTCAGTCACCTTAGACTCACAGGAATGCCAATTTCTACCAGTAGGTGGAACTGCATTTCAAAGTATGTTATTAATTACCTTAGTTATTGTGTATTTAATATTTTATGTAGTTAAAATCTAAGAGGGGTTGTTCATAGTCTTCAACAAACTGCCAAAGGTTGTCCATGGCAAAAAATAAAATAAAATAAAAGGTTAAAAAGTAGTGCTAAAGAAAGAAATTCAAACCTCAGCTTTATAAAATAGTGGTCGCAATTGCAAGGCAATCACAGGTTTAGGTAAAACCCATTTCCTAATGTTGGGAACCACAGAGCTATCTTATATTCAAGGAGCTACTGAATTTTAACAGAATCCAAGTGTCGCTCCTCAAATATGTAACCAGTAAAGAGTCTGCCCCTTCATCTCTATGGACGAAGCCATTGTTTATGCGGGCCTTGATCACTGGACATTTGAACTAATTAAGAAAAATATATATAAGGAATTTCTTGCTCTCTAACTTATCTTTCCCCATGTCTACTCCAATACTATAAAAAGCATCTTCCACAAACACTTGCATAACTTTCACATGATATTCCCTTTACCTAGGAAGACCTTTCATCTCCAGCCACTTCGTGAATTTCTATTTATTTTTCAAATTTCAGATCACATTTCCCCTCTCCTTAACAACTACCACACACAACAGTTACTCCCACTTCAGTTTTCTCTGTAACTTGTACATACTGTCATTATACTTATCACAATGTATTAATAGTTTACTTACATGACTAGGTCCCTCATTAAACTAATATTCTAAAGAATAGGAGACTCAGTCATCTTTGCATCCCTAGGACTAGCACTGGAAAGAGAAAGTACGCAGTAAGTGTCTTCTGGCATCCTTAATGCCTATTTTCAAGTATTGCCTCACTTTACCAAGAAAGAATATATTAGATATATCCTCACAGATAACAGAAAAGAAGTAAACATCAAAGACTACTCTACAGTTTGAAGCCTGGAAGATAGAAACTAATATTGTAGAAGCCAGGAGAAAGATCTACAATAGTTTTGGAAAGAACTCTATTCTAAATATGTTAAATTTGAGCTGACAGAAGAATAACCATCTACCCACTGATTCACTCAGTCAATATTTAAATCTCAATTTGAAGCTGTGCCAGGGAATATAATAGTGAATGAAACATACAGAGCATTTGCCTTCACAGAGCTTACTCTCTAGTAAAAAGGTCTAGTGAACAACGGGAAAAGAAAGCCTGGCCATCAACACAGGACAGGGTTAAAGATAATACTTTGGAAATGATACAAATAGGCATGAAAACTACAATATACTGTAAATGAATTTATACCTGTTCATATACTTGTACCATAGATCCTGCTAAGAGATAAATTTTTGATGAAGAACCCCAAATGGAATGATTCTTCAGATTTTTATGTAGAACTGGTTCCAAATATGCTCCATAAATTGTCTGTAATTGCTCTCTTTCTGGGTAACTAAAAAGGGGCATATAAGAAAAAAGTTGAAGGAAATCAATATTCTAAATTATTATATACTTTAGTGTTAAGTTAGAGCAACGGTTTTCAAATTGTGCCATTCTGAGACCTAGAACCCCTAAGGTTTACCCAGGGGCTACGGTCCCTATTCTCATTTCAACCAAATTAGATCCCTAATTATCTGCTGTAAAATACTGAGAGTCCTAAAAAAGGATTCCCACAAAATTACTTTAAAAACATAATTGTTTGAAAAACCACTGATCTTTACAATAGGCAAAAATGAAAATTTTGCTTAAAAGCATTTTGAGTTATGTATATACCCTGTACATAAAGCAGTCATCCATCTCACAACTATAAAAGTAGAACTAATACAAAAAATAAAATCAAACTCTCCAAACTAAAATCTATCTCAATACAACTTAATTGGTGGCTGTAACATTTCTGAAAGAAGGTGAACAGGTGGTTACAATTGTCATGAAAACATAAAAACAAGATTTCATAACACAAAATGTAACAAAGGAAACAGTGCCATAGCCATAAAAGTCAAAAGTCCTGTAATGATTATGGACCATGGAGATGGATGGATGTATTCGGAGTAATGCTATCAGCCACTAACATAATGTAATTCTACTTTGTTCAGATTTAAATTCTCTTTTTAGTTACACTCATAAAATTTGATAGTATTTTTGTTTTATGAAATCCATAAAACATTAAATCTATAATAAAATCTACCATTCAGATTCCTGATATTGACATTTTAGAACAGACAATACAAAACAGTTGTATTTTATTTCTAGCACACAAAAAGTGCTAATTAAAGCCTTTATTATCCTAAATTATTGCCTATAGTTTGGGAACAGCAGGAAAAAAGCTAGAGCTTCAGTTTGACTATTTGTATGTTCTACAGTTTGAAGAAATATCATTAATGGATACCTTTACTAAAATGCAAATATATAAGATGTCTCCCTCAAAAAAAAAAAAAAAAGAAAGAAAGAAAAATTAAAGAATAAGTTACATACTCTATAGCACAAAGACGAACAATAGAAGTAAATCTGGTAGTAAGCTTATGTCTTCCCAGTCTTCCTCCAGCTGACATAGAAGCCACAATTTGAATGTTTTCTAAACCAACCCATTCCAAATTTTCATCATAAAATCCTTGATATGTCAATACCTATTTGAAAATAAATTTTAAAAGTAAAAGTTTAATGCTTAGGGTTTTCTAATCATGATATATTTTTGCACAAAATTCAATTGTTTCTAAATGCAATCATCTTCCTCTAACTCAAGAATTTACGATTAAAATATATTCTAAGTTCTTATATCATTGAAAAATACTACTGCGTAAGATTCCATGTTCAATTAATGTTAGCTGAATTATCCTCATTGTAAAAATACTTTTCTCTCTAATAAACATGAAAATCCAGGTGACAGTATAAATCCATCAGCAGTTATCCAAAAAAAGTGAAAAAAAAAGAAAAAGAAAAAGTCTGAGGGAAAAAATCTGATTCCTTTCTATAAATATTTTATTATATTCTGCAGTTATATATAAAAGTGAAATTTGAAGATATATAAGCATAATAAGCTCTAATTAAGAATTTAGAGTTTATAATGTGATGCATATCACATAAAAAAAAAAAAAAATCTTCCACACTGACTGAAAATGTATGGTCTCCAATACTTACATAGGCAAAGAGGGAGATTAATGGGCTAAAGCAGCCAGAAAGGGGCATGACTGGGGAAGTCTAACTGCTCTCCAAAGAATGCATACCTAAAAAAATGAAGCAAAAACTTCCCCAACTCCAGCACCATCCTCAGCTTCTGCTTTCCTCCATATTTTAGGAACATAGGATATGTAATAGGTATAGAGTAAAGGTTGTTTTCACTCTCCTGTCATTTATCAATTTGATGTATTACTAACTTCTAAAGGGAGGACAATCAAAGAAAGTAACTCTGGAACAAGAGTGAGATGCTACAAGAGTTTAATTTCCAGGACACATGCTAGGTAAAGCTGTCTCTAAGGAAGAAAGCAGATTTTCTATCTATAAGAAAAGTTAATGAAATTAAACTGGTTTCCAATTATTTCAAGACACTTCAAATAATAAGACTCACCTGTTGTAGGAAAGCTACCAAAGTACTGGTACCCCATTTATCAAGCTTGGGTAGGTTGATATCTTTTAAGTACAAAACAAGTCTTTCACAGTCTTTTGGTCTGTATACTCGCCCAGTATTAGTACTGATTACCATGCAAGTCTGGCTCAATTTCTGCAGGAGATGTTGAGATGTAGTTTGGGCACTACAATGAACTGTAGCAATTTGAGTGGACCGGAGCTGGGAAAAGGCATACCTGAGCAGCATCCTATGAAAAATGTATGACATATGACTTTCAAAATACAATCAATAAACTACTTTTAATATTCAATATAAAATTTCTATTTTATAAATATTTCAGTTTCTAAATTATGGGTGATGATATTAAGGAGAAGGTGGTAAACATGAATATGATTTCCATAAATATCAAGGTAATTTTCTAATCTTTAGGCTGGAAAAAAATAAATTCATATTTTACAGAAATCTTGGGATTCTTTCAGCAAAAACAAAAAAATAAAATCAAAGTTCACAGAAATAATTTT